GTCATTTTTTCAATTTGTATTCAAATAATAATTATAGTTTGTACACATTCACAAACATATTTTACGAAGTAATAAGGCATTCTTATAGAGGAGAATGAAGGTATTAATGAAAAATAATAATCTATTGACTTTAAAACGTATCTCGTAATGGTTGTATGGTTATAAAAAGTACTGGCCAGAATTATTTGGCATTCATGACAGTTGCTTTGCTCTCAGGGCTTATTGTTGGTGAGGGGCTGTATCTTATGTGCATTGAGAGTTTAAATAATTAATCAATTTGCAATTAATTTACAGAGAGTTCGAGGATTGGTAAAATTAAAGTAAATTGGATGGATTGTTTCGTCAGTTAAAAGTACTAATGTACTAAAATATATCTGTTATATATATATGAATATTATGTTGTAGAGGTTAACGTGGCATTATTAATATTAGACTTGTGAAGAAATCACAAATGCCTACATGCTAACATAATTAATCGTACAATTTGAAAATTACGAGATTGTTGACGCGTTAGTGCAAAGTATAGTTTAGTTAAAATAATTTATTACTCTATCCAAATTTATTAATTGCAACTAAGCTGCAATTAAACGAATTATGGGTTTAATGACGTATGGGATGCGTAACTTTTGGTAAAAAAAACAATGAAATAGAACAGTATGACTATTTTATTATATGCTATATAGAATACATAAAAGTATTAAGTGTAAATTATACTTTAAAAACTACTATTTGATACTATGAGTAGCAAATAGGAGAGTAAGTATTATTTAGATTCCTTTTATTTAATTAGTTATAAGCAACGTTAAGAAAGTGGAGAAACATGTGATACTTTGAAGATTTAAATTTCTGCACAAAGAAAATCATGTATATTTATCTTTACACACCAGTCATACTGCATATCATGTGACATAAATATTTGTATACAGTATAAGATTCATATGGCACTAAAAACTTAATGTTAATAAGTGTAATAAGCTTAATTTCATAAAAGGAATATAGGTATATGTAGCACATGTACCAAAATTATTAAAAGTTGGTTTAAAATATATATATTGTTTTGACGTTATATATTTTTGACATTTATATGTATATTATACTGTAATAATATATTTATTAAGATTTTCTTCAACATTTTTAGTGCATACAATGTATATAGTTTAATACATTAATGTATGTCTCTATCCCCAAATAATGCGAAAGTAATAATGAAATCTTTCAATTTAATGTATAATTTAGCGGTGGCTACGATTTTTTTATAATGTAAGAAAACATCGATTAGATTCGTACATAGGCAATAAGAATGATATAGTTTATACAATAAATAGTTAATCCTGAAGAAAGAAAGATTTCTTTGTTAAATTGATTGGAAGCTGTGGTAGAGGTAAAAGAAAAAGAAAAAAACATACTGTTCGTTTTATTTTAATGTGAATTTATTTTTGATATCATATACCGATCTCGGGAGGTGGGTACATGGGTCTGTTATCTTATTTTTCTGCGGCAGGGCACATAACGGAGGCAGCGTCTAAACATCAAATCCATTTATTTGTTCGATTCGTTATTGCTACTTTATTATGTCCTACGTTTTCTTTTTATGCCTCATCTGGTCGTACATCGAGTGACTGGAGCATGAGGCATGTTTGTTTATAAATAACAGTTTCTTATAACCTCATAATGCGTTTGCTGCTACAAATGGTTTCTCTTTTGCGGTATTTCTATTCGATCGCGCGTGTGTGTATATATACATATAATGCGATGGCATGTGTAGACGTATATAGAAGAAAGTAATTCTTAATTACACGATACACTTTTCTTTATACCGGCATGAAAATATATCACATAGAGGGGTATTCAAAATCAACGCAGAGGTTTATTAGCGCGATCGAATTCCAATGAAAATAATGTACAGTGCGCAAAATTTGTATGATTATTCTTCATAGAAGGAGAGAGGGAGCATTTATTTTTATTTCGTTATTAAATGCGTATTTTTCTTTAATCCTGTCATAGTTAAAATTCTATTTATCCAACATTAATACATCGATAAACATTGTTACTCACTTTACTAATATTCAAGTATTGTCTAAAAGCATGGCAGACTTGCCTCTCATTTCTCAATGCTCCAGTCAATTTAAGTTATACACATCCTCTGCTCAAATTATTACTTGCGCATTGAATTACCATCCAATAATGTTCTAAAAATGATCATCACGTATCATGAGCGTCTATATGCATTTTTATCGATAGTTATATTTTTATTAATGCTCAGTACGGTACATTGTGTGTATGTACAACATCGAGCAAATCGGCTAAGCATGCAGAGTTAAATGATCGCTATAACGCTACGATCAGTATAACTATGGTACCAATCAGTAAGATTAGAATATTATACCCCGATCTCATCGATTTATTACAGAAAAGCTCCAAGGGATTATAAATCCGATCGAGTGGTCGTTATAGATCGCGTATAATCCGTTAGAGCGTGTTCTCTCGAGCATACGTCTAAATCGTCGAAGTTTATAATGCAGACGCTCCAGTCTAAAAATGTGTAAAACCCCCCAATATACTTTTCAATATTTACAGTATCTCAAAGACACGCGTTACACACGCCACATAACTTACGTAGTATAACTTGGTGTTCGTTTGAAATCTTTTCTGCTTTTCTTTTGCTTTGCCAAACGCCAGATTTCTTCTCTTAATCGGTTTCTGCTCAACCAATCATCCCATATTTTCGAATTTCGTAATATTACAAAAATCGTACACCATAGATCTCGAAATTTCTGTCTTGTCATTTTTACATGCATTCTCTTGGTACCGACACTGTCTAAAATGCATTAATAGCTTTTACATCAAATTGTAAGGGATGATGATCATTCCCCGTAACCGATCAATTTTATTTCAATAACAGCAAATCAGAGAAAGAAACGATGTTCAGGTTTCTCGAAGACACCTGTGAGTGGCTTAATTTGAGAACGAAGCAGAATTCATCATTGTCTGTCGGCAATTCTATGCAATTTTTAAATAAACCACTTTGTCGTATGCTCGTGTGGCGTATGATCGGTACTGCCGATCGAAATATAATGCCTGGAAATGTTTCGAATTTGGGTCCCCTGTACAAGTCGTGTCTTCTCAGAAACGAGTTATTTTTTTCATCGTATCTTCGCGCTTTACGTGCGTGAAAATCACTCTCTTATCGTTGATAAAAGAAAAACTACGTGTATCGAGCCTTCAAGTTTCGATGCAACGAATACAATTTTGCTTGCTCGGACATTAAAGGGGGGGCAGGGGGCAAGGGACTCGTACATCAAGCTATACACATTTTTTTTTTACTGTTAACGTTTCTTAATTTCATCCTAACTAACCTAGCGCCAAGCAGCGAATCACACCTACGTAAATTGTCGTTCGATTTATACTCTATGTATATATGTATACGTATATATATATTTATATATCGTCGGTATGTATAATCGTTAATGTCCGGCTACGCGATGAAATCGCTCGTCCTTGAAATCCATTAAAACGTCGGTAAAAGTAACCAATAGTTCGTTTGTTGTAACAACACGAATCGTTGTACGACTGTAAGTTACCGTCCATCATGATAACGATCTGTTCCCCATCGTTGGTAACAATAACATTTCTATTATACATTTTCGTCAAAGCGTAAAATTATTGTTGACATACAATCATGCGATGATTGGTAATTAGATCAGCAATAAGGACGGTCAGGCGAAAAGCTCGAGACGTGTTTGAAAGCGTTTCTTTCTTTGCGATAATTCGTGTCCTTGTACTGCTGCCATTCTTGTAGTTCGGATTTCACTGGTCGCGTTTCATAAAATAATACCGGTATATATATATATATAATATATATATATCTACTATATAACTTCCACTGTACAAATTCAACACGATTGCCATCATCAGTCCCAAGGTCGTAATTACGGCGGGGTCGCATGGTTACGAGGGAAAAGTTAGACGAGAGTATATTTCGAAACGAAAGGATTTGTTTAAACATGGTCTTGCATATTTGAGTTCAAGTTTCGTCAATTATAGTACGGGTAGAAGAGGTACTTTCATTTATGGTATACGTAAAAAACAGAATGAGATTCTGTTATATTCCGAATTGAAAAATTAACAGTAATTTGTTAGTATCTGTTATTTTGTGTTAAAATAAGTCTGTTAAGAAGGCACATCAATTTTTAAACTCTTTCAGAGAAAATTAAGTTATATTTAATTTGACATACGAAACAGTTCCGTCTTTTTGTTTTAAGATAAAAGTTTTCCTCTTTTACCCGGAATAAATGTACTGATCATTTAATACAATACTATTCGTAAGCGTCTCCACCCATTGCGTATGAAATGCTTTCGACCATTCATACCTTTTCAGTGAAACGATCTTAAACTGGCAGGCAAAGCGAAACAGAACATTCGTTCGGAAGCATAAAACAGAAATCAACGATACAAATATGTTTGTAACGTTGAATATCTATTGACCGTACTGTTTCGCTTTCTTCGTTATAAAATAGAAGACAATTTATCGGCAGAGAGCTCAATAATCAGTCAACAGCTCGAAGTAAAGAAGGTCGCACAGAACTTAACATCAAATATCCTTTTATGAAAGTACGATTACTTTATGTTCACTGAAGTGTCGGTTACGAAACTCGCCTCCTTCCTTCTAAGTTGTACATTATGTATAATAATATATGTTTTAGCAGTATAAAGAAATTTATAATAAATCGAACGGAAGTGTGTGCCACAATCAATACTTCGATCATTATTCGAAATCAGACAGTGTATGTATCGTTGCGATAGTATACGCAAAAGAAAAACTTATTATTTCAAATGCTTTAAAATTTTATTTTTAATTTGATCCTTATAACTGAGTATGCACTGTCTTATTCCAAATAGTATCGATATCATTTAGTTGTTCTACCAAGAATCTGGCGACCAACTCTTAATTATACTAACGATATACATATTTCTGCATTTATTGAATTTGTACAAAGATTCAGTTCCTTAAACACACGTTCCGGCGTATGAGTAATGAGTATTATTCCTTTTAATCGATATTAAGATAATAATAATAATCGTTATTTTTCTGATTATTAGTTAAGCACAAGGAGAGATCACAGTGAAGAAATCTGCTATGAACAAATTTCGGCTAATCGACGTAATACAAAAAGAATATGATAATAAAAATTTTAATGTTCATTGTAGCATAACATTGTGCCTGCCATTTTCTAAGTATATTATGAGTAGGTCCCATGACTCTTGGGATACTTGATGATAAATTAAGTGACAAGTACAAAGGATAGTACAACGATGACCGTGTAAAATAATAAAGTACTACGAAATTTTAATTTAAGATATCATTACTAAATGAAAAACATGATTTAACAAATTTATAAATACACAAATAGGCAGCCACTATCGAGAGTGTTACAATCAGAAGCGTACCCATAGGAAATTTAACGGAATGTATCAAGCTCTTTCTTCTTCATTAATTTTCGAATTTTGTTTCTTCTTCGTCACTTAAAACTACATATAACAATTCAGACGTAAATGATAATTAAATCAAATTATAGCCAGTTAAAAGGGTAAAAATAACTTTTCTGAATCGTAACAGTTTATAAGTTTATAATAATTTTGAATTCTATAACAATGTGCGCGCCCGCGTACGTGCGTATATATATGCACATATATATTACAATTTATTTGTGTATATTAAATATTAAATAATTTTATTGTATCCGTTTTCAATAACAATGCATTTAAATGTATGGAATAAAATATTGTATATAATATGAAAGAACCTGACACCCGCAGGTTGCCGTTGCTTCTTGTCACACTCTCGACTTATGATTATATCAGGATGGTAAAAGTTTAGAGTTGAAGAATTTAAAGATAAAACGATAAAAAACACGATCACTTTTTGATTTGCAGCCACGGATGTTTCAGGCAGTCTGCTGCTGTAGCTCGCATAATTGGGTCAAATTCGAGCATCGGAGTTAGGAATTCCTCAAACTCGCGTGCTTCTCTTGGCGACCAATCATATTTTTCTGTAAGCACCTCGTACAGTCCCCAAGGTTTCAATCCGGTAATGTGTTTTAATTCCCCTTTCTTATTAAAGTACATTTTTGAGTTTTTGCCTGAGAAGGCGATACGTCTTGGTATTTCTCCAAGCAATTCAATAATATGTGCTAAATGATCTTCGTCTCTGTAATAAATAAAATACATTTTAATGTACTATTTTCACAAATACGGAAAGTTGTTTTTAAAACGATGAGATCGAGTAAACATCGAAACTTGCCTGCAATAATCTTTACCAGTATGTGGTTCAAACAGATAGTCACCAGTTGCTAATTCAAACGCCATACAGGCAGTGGACCATATATCCGCGGAAGTGTCATACCCTGATCCTAGTAACACCTCTAATGATCTATATTGACGAGTTTGAATATCATCTGTGAATTTATTGTGGACCCAACAAGCGTTACCGAGGTCTGCTATTTTCACTTCAACATCGCATTCCACTATGGCAGGATCTAAAGGAGCTACGGATGCTCGTTTTAATTGTTTACTCTCAGGTGGTTGTAAATTACGACCTGTACAAGAAATAGAACAGTAATGCAATTAATTATAATCATACAAGTTTTTCTTTTTTTAATGTTTTACCTTCGCTACATTCGTCTGCATCTTCATGATCGGGTGGTAATACCCCTTCGCCGCAACTTTTTTCTACGTCACATAAGTTTGCATTGTCCATTTTCTCAGATTGTTGAGATAATTGATTTTCTACTTTTTCTCCGCCTGCTAAACTATCCACACCATTAATGTGCAATGAAGGTACAAATGGTTCTGAAATATCAGGCGAACCTTTGCTTTCTGTATTATCTTCTATACTTTCTGTATTTATATCTTGATCAGGACTATTTGTTTCTACTTCTCCATTTTCTCTTGTGCTATTTGCTAGCTTATTTTGCTCTTCGAGTTCTTCAATCTGTTCCATTTGTTTCTTTAATAGTTCATTTTGGCGTTTGGCTTTTTTCTTCAGTTTCTTCTTCTTATTCTTTGACATTTTAGAGTTAGGAGTAGGCTCTTGGAATTCCTTTGGTGCAGTTGAAACTAACGATACTGGCAATTTCATTCCAAGAGAATGCAACTCTGTAGCTTGGCAAGCTAGCTTTCGTATATAAGCTTCATCGACGCAAATAAGAACATTTTCAGGTTTTATGTCTGTATGAATAATTTTACCTGAAAAGAAAATATTTTAGAACAGCAGTTTACTTTAATATAATTCCAATAGTTTAAATATAATTCTTTCAACATAATTAAAAATGTTTTAAGTTTACATTATACTCAAATAATTTGTTCATACGATCACACAAATACTGCCTAATAAAGTAAGGCTAAATACTGTACAGGTTTTCACAATTGCCTTACATTTATTATGAAGGTAATCAAGACCTTCAAGAACTTGTCTGATGATACGTTTAACATTGTTCCTTGGAATTCCTCTATAGTTGGATTTGATGATCAATTTAAGAAGATTATCTCCAAGCACTTCAAATACCATGCAAACATGCAGACCATTAATGCCACTGATCTTGAAATCATTGAGCAACTGGACGGTTTTATTGCGCTTAGGATCACTAGGATCTATATCACGCACATCTTTCAATAATTTAATTTCATCCAATGCAGTTTCAGTAAAATGGGTCGCAGATTTCACCACTTTAAGTGCCACAAATCGTTTATCCTGCAGAACATATTTCAAGACATTCCCTTCATGAACATAACAATCGTGAAAATACTGTTTGCTAAATTATATGCATACCTGTAAATCCCAGCAGAGCCATACTGTTGAAAAATGACCCCAACCAAGTTTACGCGTTACATGATAACGATTTTGAAATAAATCCCCTATTTTAACAGGATGATATCCCCCTTTGCAATAATCACTGCTATCCTCTTGCTCTTCATCTTCGGTACTGTATACCTCGTCATCGTCCTCTATTGTTTCATTACTTGAGCTATGGCATGGTTCCAGTCTATAAATTCCATTTAAAAAACGAAAAGAGAAGAAAACATGAATTAGAAAATGAAAACCTAAAACATGTTTTTTAAGCTTTTGTGAATACAGCTGAATTGACCGTTCGAATGAAATTAAATTTAATTGCTTGATTTCACAATTAATAAAACAAATAATATTATAATTAGATAGATAAAAATAATATAACTTTGGAAGAGACACGTGTAAAAAATTGTGTTGCATTATGTTTGCAGGAAGAATCCTAACCATTGTATTGTTTCTAATATTATGCAATGTGTATGGTATTATTGTTGCAAATTTTGAAATTTTGAAAATCAAATTACATTAATTTTTAAAAATGACTTATTTAATTCAATAACATTTGAATTTTAGTCCGAAGTTACTTTTCATAGAAGTGATTGGCTAAATACCCTTATTGTCTATATATTTTGTTTATACTCGTTAGCATTTATAATTTGTGTTTAGTTCTCTTAAAAAAACGCTCGTCCCAATCGTGTCTTCTTCGTGTAACTGAAATTATTTTGATGACAAAATAACATTGCCCGAGAACATATTCGTTTGCACGTTCCTTAATACTCTTTGAACCATTCACTAACAATGATTTATCATCGTTGAACTGCAGAGAGAAATCGACAGTACGTTCAATACCGAAATAAATAGAACCAAAGAGACTTATTTTAATTGTGAACTGTCACCGAGAAAAGTCAACACAAAACGATATGACACATTGAAGATAAATCGGGTACCTTTTTCCGAAGTAGAAATCTGATCCTTGTACTGGTTGAACGGCTGGTGTCTTCGAGCATTGAGCTCCTGGTGTCTCTGATTCACCCTGAGAATTTCCCTTTCCTTTCCGCTTGCTTGGCTTGTGCCTTTTTTTCTTGGCCTGAATCGCTAGGACCCGCCTGTTCACGTCCGTCTTCGCACTCATACCGTTCCCTGCGCCTCGATTCGTCGGGCCGCTTTCCTCTTTTTCTTTCCACTCTCCACACTTCCGTTTTCACTTCCTTTCGTAAATTCTTTTCTTTACGTACCAATGGAGGCACTTATACCCGTTACACCTCGTCCCCAGGCCGTCTACGAACGATATAATACGGTTTTATTATCGTCTCATTTCTGCGTTGTGCCGCGCACTTCGTTCGGCGGTTGTTTGAGTATGGCCGCCCCCGCCGTCACCGTGTCTCTCCGGTCTCCCGTTTCGAGCAAAGCAGGTGTCGTCTCCTACAGGTCGTCGACGCCGTCGTATTCTCCAATGTACCTCGACCTTCTCTCTAATCCGCGCGTTATGCCGGCAATACACTCGCGGGTACGAGTACTTTCCTTTCCGATACACTCGCGATTTCCTACTTTCCTTCGGATTCCCTTCGTTGGTATTCGGTATCCTTTTCTATGCCGTGGTAGCAGACAAGGCTCAAATTCGACCAAAGCCCTTGAATAATAATTTCATAGTTCCTGGTGCTTCTTGTCGATTAGAGTCGTATATTCTGTGCTTTCATGCAATCCGTCGCGTGTATTTTGTATGTATTTAGCTTAAGGTTTCCTTTAATGGAGCTTAAAGATGCCCCCATGAATAAATAGGTATATTAATGTTATTTCAACCAATCGGAGAAAAGATTTGATATCAAATTGATATAATTATATAAGATGATACGCATGATTAATCTACCACGTGTAATTAAATATTTTATTAACAATATTGTTTCGCATTTGTAATTGTAGAACGTTTTACAACTTTACCACTTTTTTATAAGAATGAAAGGTTTAATACTTGAATAAGAAATTTATTATTGTCGTAAATAATATTTAAAGTAAATAAGGATTCCAGGATAAGAATTTGATATATATTATAATTTTTTATTCAGTTGCACATGAAACAAATATAATAAATATCGTACAATCAATGATAATTTTTATCAGTTTTAATGATAAATACTTAAAATTTTGTTGAGGTTCATTAAATAATATTCAGTTCGCGAATACAATGCCAAGACGTGCAATTTCACTATATTGAATAGGTATATGCATCTGCTATAAGATGGCAACACTGTAGATAGAAATCGTACAACGCAATACGTCTCTAACTACATTTTATGTAGTTTTGGTTATAACCAAAAAATATTTTTGTGGATGACGTTTAGTCATAGAAATCTTTTAAGATTGTTTATCGTATAACGTCTTGATAACTACTTAATGTTTGTATGTTTCACGCATTACGTTGAAAAAATACTGGTAAAATGGAAACCATATTTCACGAAAAGGTAGATCATAATACGCGCTAAGAAAAATCTAATGGTCTTTTTGTATCTGTGTCATAATAACGAAAAAATTTATTACAGCAAGAAGGATATTTGTGTGCGCAACATTGTTTAAATGCACTTTTGCAAGGACCATACTTTAATGCAGTGGACTTAGCTAATTTTGGTCACCAAATGGATGAAGAGGAAAGAATAAGAATGGCAGAGTCTGGTATCGATAGTGAAGATTATAAACTTTTTTTAGAAGTGAGTATTTCTACATTGTAAACACATCTTTGATTACAGATTACATTCCACAAATCTATTTTATTTTACAAACTAATGGAAATTTTTAACCTTACGTATGGTAAAGTGCATTAATTGTTTTGCCTAGCAACCATCGGAAAATATGGATGACAGTGGATATTTCTCAGTTCAAGTTATTAGCAGTGCGTTAAAAGTTTGGGGATTAGAATTGGTCCCATATAACAGTTCAGAGTCAGCATCTTTACTGGCACAAAAAGATCCTTCGTAGGTTATTATTCATTCTTTCACTTTTTGATTTCATATATGTATTTTGAAGATTATTTGTATAGCTTTTATTTGCTTTACATCAATATCATCATTAATTAAGATATTTTTTGTTGCATCATGCAACAGAAAGAATATCTGTTTTAACATTTTTTATAACACAATTTGTAGTTTATAATAAACATATAATAAAAATAGATACAACTTTTAGACAGATGAAAGCATATATTTGTAACTACAAAGGTCATTGGTTTACAATTAGAAAAATTGGAAAACAATGGTTTAATTTAAATTCAATGCTAAATGGGCCACAACTTATATCAGACACTTATCTTGCAATGTATTTAGCTCAATTGATGCAAGAAGGTAAGTGGAATACATTAAAGATAAGTAGAAATGTAAATACAAAATTTCACATTTTTTTATAGGTTATGCTATTTTTATTGTTATTGGTACACTTCCTCAATGTCCTGCAGAAGATGTTCTTATGAGAAATCCGGTAGTGGCTGTATCAAAAGGAAACACAAAAACTACTTTAAGAACAGAAATAAAGGGTTATCGCCTGGGTACTAAAGAAGAAGACGAACTTTTAAAAGCTGCCCTTGCTCTGGGAGAAGTTAAAGTACCAATTGCTTCTGATTCAACAAGAACACCTGCTTCTACAGGTTTAACTAATAATACAATGTCGGCTACGTGTACCAGACATGTATGTAACAGACATGTACCAGAAAATTTGGAGTTGCAAGGGGCGCTCCAATTAAATTTAGAAAATAATACAAACGATGATATCGATGAGTCTCTTAAATTGAGATTAGACCTTTATAATGATAATAAAACAGCTCATATAACAAATGTAACGGACGATGTAGATGAAGATGACGATTTAAGAAAAGCTCTTCAACTAAGTTTAGAATGTGTCACAGCTCCGCAAACGCCAGATCCTGAGGATTTGCGTTGGCGTCGATTAAATCATTTTGGTATATACTCAAGGGCATCAAGTACAGAAACATCCCAAAAACTAAATACTTAATAATATGTGCAAGAATTTTTTAAATATTATTATTATTATTATTATTATTATTATTATTATTATTAATAAAGCAAATTTTATTTGTAAATTATAAATAACTAGTTACTTTGTATACTAATGATAAAGATTTGAAAGAAATAAATGTTTAAATAAAGGACCTGTACATGTTAAAACTGCCAGTTCAATTATTACTAAATTATCAATTTCTTTCTATAACATTTTGCCAATGGTAATTGTTTTTATTGTACAAATAATATGTTTCTTTTTCTTAACTTAAGAAAGATACATTCAAATTCAGTAATTTCAGCAGAACATTATATACGACAAATTTTCGAACATACTTCTATATTATTGGATCAAATTTGTCTGTTATGTATAATTCAAAAACATTGCATGGAAAACATACTTCCTTTTTATTTTCGTATGCGTTTTAATTTTACATTCAATATGTATGTTTCATTTTTATTAGATCTAAATATAGATCCACACCTTTATAGAACAAACGAATAATTATTTCCGTTGCAATATTACCAGAAGGCTATGAATTGAGATTTTAACTGTAGTTACTCTGTAGTTGCTCCTGTTTTGTATGTGAATGCTAAATGTTGACATTCAACATGGCGGCATGTCGTCAGTGCTGTGCTGTGTCGTGGTGAGTTTTATAAAACTTTCTAAAGCCGTTCGATTACGAACTTTGTAACGAAACATTTACAATCTTTAGAATTATTCATTTTCCAACAATCTTATTCATGTTTTATAAGTATTCGGAAGTTTGATAAATTTTTACGATATCCAAAGAAACGAGCGACCTCATAAAAAAATTAGGATCTCATAACTGGCGAGCACATACAATATTTCGGATTTTTGTTTTGAACTCGTCCTCGGAGAATAAACCTCATCGTTTACGAGTTCAAAACTGATACTAAGGAATTCCGTTGAATAATAAGCGTTAGTTACTTTCAATTAAATGTATAATGTCTATACCATTACATATATTTCAAACATTTTCATGTGGGTGTCCCCAAGTATTGTATCCCAGTTATAGTAAAGTTCGAGAATTATGATTTAAGCAGTAAATTGTCCACAATAATATCTTAATTGTCTATATTACATCGTCAAACGAGATTTAGGACACAAGTAAAATCTGAAGAAATAAGTACAAAACATTCAGAAAACAGTACCAGTTGGATTATAAAAACTCAATGTCAAACTGGTAGTCAATTTTTGAGAATATCTTATTTACCTTGCGTGTAACCACAAATAGAGTGTAATAAATATGTTACAGAATGTTATATGTTTAAACATTTCTGCCAATTTGGAGTACAAAATATATAATAACCTATATGCAATAATGAATTTAGTTTACTTTTGGTAAAAATTTATTGTTTGCTTCGCTTAATTAAAGTGAATCATATGATGCAAAATACACGATACAGTTAGTTCCACACTTTCGATTACTGTGTAATTGAATGAACTATTTATGAGAATATAGTTATTGTTATTTATTTAAGGAACAATTTACATTTTATAATTGTTTGTTAAAAGGCTCGTAATCATTTTGCTTGCATATGCATTAATATATTGGGACACTTAATCGAAAATAATTTTTGTTTATTTCAGCTTGTGTAATTGTTAGTTTAGGACATTTTTGAAACCAAGGCTCACTGTAAATTTCACAATTAAATGCTGAAGAAAGAAACGCTAATATAGAAATATTGGAACAACACAATCACACTCAGCACGCATTGAAGACATCTGAGGATTTTCAAGTCAACATTTATCCTTTAAATCTCCTATGTTTTTTGATTTACTCCTTTTATAAAGGATGACTGTTGTTTAAAAAGAAACACAGTTATTCCAGTGTATGCTAAATTGAGTAAATATCAAACCATTGTTATAACACTTGTGCATACATATGTGGAAAGTATCAATGGTCTACAATGTGCTAAGAATTTTGTACTTGTATTAATTCGTAAATCAACATTAACTATATTGTTTATTTGTATATTGTGTACACAAGCTTTGTGAGAAAGAGTTAGGTGAGCCATAAAGTGACCGTGATTGTGATTGCGGCTGAGATTGTGCTCTTGATTAATAAAACACTTGTATTTGTATTTAAAGAGTGCCAATTTTGCACAGAGTTGCCCAGGTACTCACAGATGAATAATTTATGACAAACGTCAAAATACGTTCGAAACCTTCCTTCCACTTCTTGGTCACAAAGGAGTCTGCATTTCTGCAGCATTTTAAAGAGCCTCTCTTCCTCTGTATTAAGTTCTTGTAACATTATAATAGTGAACAAAGATATAAGGTACCAAGAACCGTTCTGTGATATCTATGTTAACACTTAAATAATTGAAAAGACTAAAAATTTCTAAATATAAGTATATATATATTGTGGTGTAATTAAATTAAGTAATTGTTTCAAGAAAAGAGGAAAACTTATACATAAAGATTACATTTAAAATTGTGCAAATTCGAAACAATGTCCAAGAATCCTCAGTGGAAAACGTTCCAGCCGCCAATCATGAACTCTGACCCTGCAATACTTGATTATAAGTCTATGGCTATACCGAGTCCTAAAGATAAAACGGGATCTCATCAATCATCAACTAATATCTACCGGAATGGTACCAGCTACAGTGGTGATCATTATATGACGGATTCACCTCCTGGAAATGGGAAAAATAATATACATTATGCAAGCTATACCAATTCCCAAACATCACGCAACGAAGTCACCAGATTTCCTTTTGGAACACTTACAGGAATGGAAGAAAATGCTAGTTATACAGAGGAAACATCAACAACAAATAACTCCACTTATCAAGATCAATCTTCAAACCAAGGAACTCGGGAAACTGGAATAATTGAAAAATTATTAGTATGAATTCTATTGTCATTGTAAATTTTACATTTAAATGTTTACATTTTATAACTAATCTTTTTATTTTCTTTTAGCATTCTTACGGATTTATACAGTGCTGTGAAAGACAAGCAAGGTTGTTCTTTCATTTCAGCCAATTTAGTGGTAACATAGAACACTTAAAAATTGGAGATCCAGTTGAATTTGAAATGACTTATGATCGGCGAACAGGGAAACCTATTGCCAGTACAGTTAGCAAAATATCTCCGGAAGTGGTTAGTATGTTATTCGTATTATTTTTATGTTTCTGAAATAAATACTTTGTAACCTTTTTAAATTTATGTTCCTAATTTAAAACAAATAATTTCGATGGACATTCCATGACAGACCTCTTTACCTTTGTATTTAATCTATTGATTTGAAAAAAAAGTCTTATTAATTTAGGTGCTAAGTGAAGAACGAGTTACTGGAAACGTAACAACTGAGTTACATGCAAACGGTGACTCGCAAGGACGCATCAGTTACGAAAATCGAGGAGAATGCTTTTTTCTGCCATATACGAAAGATGACGTAGAAGGAAATGTTACTTTGCGCACTGGCGATAGAGTGTCATTTCAAATTGCTACCAATCAACGGTATAGTATTTAATTATTTATTATAAATATCAATAAATTTATTTTTACAATTATATATAGTCATTATAATGTTACAATTCAATTACAGTGGAAATTTGGGTGCATGTCATGTAAGATTAGAAAACCCAGCACATCCGGTTCGCTACCGCGGAGTGGTATGCTCCATGAAAGAAAATTTTGGCTTCATTGAACGTGCAGACGTGGTTAAAGAGATTTTCTTCCACTTTAGCGAAGCTAAGTCTATGAAAGAGGAACTTAAACTAGGAGATGATATTGAATTTGTAATACAAACCCGAAATGTAAAGATATATTTATTTTGTATGAGAAATTTTTGCTACGCATGTTATATTCACGAATTTAATTATTTTTAATATTTTTCTTTTTTAGGGAAAAGAGGTAGCTTGTAATATCACTAAGCTGCCACCTGGTTCAATAGTGTTTGAAGAAGTCAGCAACGAAATAGTAAAAGGACAAATATTAAAGCCTCTAGAAAGAGGAACTTCAGCTCGTCATCAAAATGACCCATTACCTGGAAAAATTCGTTATAGAGATGCAGATCATTGTGAAGTTGAAATTCCTTTTGGTGATAAAGACCAGAAAGGAGATTTTACTCTCAGGTATAGTATTATTATCATAAATTTCTTAGATGTCCCCAAAAATAGAAATCCAACGAAGATAAGTCAGAGCCACTATAGTGGCGCGTCGTTCAGAAAGATAACATCCGCGAGGCCACTATAAGAGGTTAAAATATTCCCAAAGCACTCCATTATAAATGATGGATGTTTATATTTTGGAAAGAAAGAGCTTCTAGGCTCATGTTTGTGATATTTTTTATTTTTAGGTAGAGTAGAACACGCTACCAAAGTGAGACCATCTATTTACCCTGTTACCCTTATAAATCACTTTTCTTGGTTTCCCACTCAATATAGAAATAATTATAAATTGCTAAATTTTTTAGACACGGGGACTGGGTCCAATTTCGTATTGCTACAGATACTAGAGATCAACTCAAAAGAGCTACTGAAATAATGTTATTATCTGAATCTTTTACTGTATCCGGTGAAAGACGAGAACAAGGCATTATTGCTACACTCAAAGATGGATTTGGCTTTATTCGTTGCGTTGATCGAGACGTCCGTCTTTTCTTTCATTTCAATGAGGTTCTTGATGTTGATAGAGAAATTAGTGTTGGGGATGAAGTTGAATTCACAGTAATTCAAGTAAGAATAATAATTTCCGAGATTGTTTCTAATTTTTCAAGTTTATCATAATTAAATATTCTTATAACAGGATCCTTCTTCGTCATTTTCAAATAATCGACAAAGTGCAATTAGATTGAAACATTTACCAGTCGGTACAGTTCAATTCGAAACAATTATAGAAAAAGATTTAATGGGTACTATAATTCAGAGTTTAAATGGTCTCGAACCTGGTCTCATTGGATACGTGAAAGAGAATCATCAACAAAAGAGCGTTATTTACTTTAGCAAAGATTGCGATCCCAAAAATATTCCAAGATTAGGCGACAAGGTATATTGGCATTGTTTTATTAAAAACAATATTATTAAACATTGAAAGTTATTTTTATGGTACATTTTTGTTTAAATAACGAATATTTCAGGTTCAGTTTAGTATCTGTCAAGTAAAACGGAACAAAGAACTTGTTGCTGTTGACATATCTGTAGTGAATTCTTCTGGCGAAAAAACTCAGAATGGCAACAAAAAATTGAATGGTCAAGTTTGTCAAGGCTTTATTGCTGCTCTTAAAGATGCATTTGGTTTCATCGAGACTGTAAACCATGATAAAGAAATATTTTTTCACTTCAGGTAATAAATTGAAATATTTCTGAGGTAAATCGGTTTCTCGTTTAATATAAATTTATAAGGCGTATTTTTATTATTTAGCAATTTTGAAGGAGATGTTAATGCTTTGGAAGTAGGAGCTGATATTGAGTGTACGATCAGTTCTGGAAACGGTAGAGGTAATGGTGGTTGTGTTGCCGCGGATTACGTTAAATTGGTACCTCGTGGAAGCATTCCTAGACCGACACCAGTTAGCGAAGTGCTCGATGGAACAGTCATAAGACCCTTACGAAGTGCAAATCCTGACCAGGCAGAATATGCTGGTTTGATCAAAATAAATGCTACTAACGAAGATGAAGAAACTCCGGAATACGAGTACAGAATTATGGGCCTCGTAAACAAACGCGAGCTGTTACAGGCTGGTGATCCTGTACAATTGCAGGTGGATTCAGCAGGCCATGCTTGTAATATTGTAGCAGTTAGAAAAAAAAGAAGAGCAACGGTGGATGCCGTTAAAGGTCCTTTCGGTTTTCTTGCTTACGAAATTGACGAGGGTAAGAAATTATTCTTTCACATGAGCGAAGTTCGCGACCATGCAATACTTCAACCGGGAGATCAGGTTGAATTCGTTTTAATTACGAATCAACGCACTGGTAAATCATCTGCATGCAATGTAACACGATTAAGGTAAATTATACATTTCTTCGATTAAATATTCTATAATCGATCGATTAATGTATTTTTGTATTTTGTTGTATAGCGAAGCAGTTCTTCAACGACCCGAACGTTTAATTAGTCGATTGCGTACTACGTCTATGGAAGATACAGGTCCTAAATTAACAGTAGTTAGACAACCAAAAGGGCCAGACGGCACGCGCGGATTTAGTCAGGAAAGATCCCAGCATACCCCTGGTGCCATCCAAGAGTAATGTCATATTGAAACGGTTACTGCTTATCCAAATTGTAATCTACATTACTTGTTTTTAGTCCATACACTTCGGTACCGAGATTATTATTATTATAAGTATGATCGTAAAACATTTGCCAAATTGAGACTAATGTGACAACAATAATAATATTGATAATAATCAATCGATTGGATTATGATCTTGTTGAGAAAAAGAAGAATATAAAACAAGCAAACAACGAGTCATTTTATCATCTTATGGAATATGAGAATAATTAAGAAGGCAGTTTGTCTAAATTATTTAATTTGTCTAAAAATCTGCTGGAAATCTTGTTTCTTTAGCAAAAACATATAAGAAACTTTTTAATAATTGTGAGATATAAAAACTTTTAATTATTATACTTTTACAGTAAAAGTTTAGGATTTTCAATTCAGTTCATTATAAGTACGGTTACAGATTGGAAAATAATTTAATATTGAGCCGTTGACAATCTGCCTGTTTGTAATGTTCAAAGATAATGTCCCGTCTGTCTTTATAAAAATATACGTACATGTTGATACAATCTTTTATTTATATTATTTTCTTTAGAGTATTTGTTTTACCTATTATGTACATCAGAATGAATTTAAATGTATAATAGACAAAAATGAAATCGCATACGAAATGCACCATATATATAAAAATTTGAATTGGCCATCTAATCAAAAGAGATGAAAAAATGCATCCGTATCACTTAATGAAATTTATAAATTAAAATAATTTTATAGTGGCAGGAGCAGACATGAGTTTTATTATATGAATTATTGTAACATGTCACTCTGTTGAAAAAAATGTCTATGAATTTGTAAAAAAGTTACAACTGGCCAATTGTTTGTCCTAGATAATATATAATATATAAATATATATACATGTCGTTAAGTTCCTGATACAGTCTCGTGTTGTAAAATCAAACTAGTATTACGGATTCAGTCGATATATAATACAAAAATAAAAAAATTACAAAAAGTACTTATCCGAAGAGTAAAAGAATCGCATTTTATAAGTTTTGCCATCAGAAACAGCAAGCGAGGTACACGTTTAAGTAGAAATAGGTGAAAGGAGTAAATAATAACAAAGTGCGTAACACAAGCACGATACAAACAAAGCGTTTGTCTGACAACTCATGGATCCAACACATCATGTTCATACATATTGTAAAATTATTGATAAATAAACAATAAAACGTCAAATGTATCTCTTTTTCTATGAATCTTTAAATTTAAATAAGTTCGTTTAATAAATATTTTTAAGCAAATGTACGTTTTAGTAATTTTGTTATGTTTGTATTGATATTTCGTAAAAGATAAAGTTACAAACAATGATGAACAAGAATATCACGATATATACAATATATTTATTGCGTATGTACAAAGATGTGAAAATTGTCTTGAAACGTGTTTATTTTTTATATTTAACATACTGAGTGTATTTGATTTTGCATAGATGAAAGTAACAAGAAAAAATTGTAAATCAGATTACAACGCATTCGTAGGGGAACGATCCTCGGAGACGTAGGTGATTCAATCCTGGGCAAACTAAAAAACACAGTTATCGTTTTGTTAAAATGGAATTTTTTAATTACTTGCATGCGGTAATAAGTAATTGGAATTGAATAAATATGTAATTAGAAATATGAGACTGTAAGTCGTAAATATAAGTATCGTAAGTTATTAATGACAATAACCACTAACGTTTATTGCAATGTGGCCCATAATAACCAGTTCCCTCGCAGCGACATTTAAATCCAGGTTCCGACGATATTTGCAAGCATGATCCTCCATTCAAACAAGGTTTCAATCCGTTGCATATATCGCTACGTTTGCCTGAAAAAATAAGTACTCTAAAACAATGAAAATTAAACATTCCTCTAATGTCGTTGTCCCGTGCACACAATAAATTGGATCTCTTTATTAAGGCCATAACTAATCCAATAAATACGTAAGTTGTTACCTCTTAGTGCTTCTTTGCAATCCTCGTTATTGTTATATCTGTATTCGGAAGAACAGCCATAACCACAACTGCATTGTGCATTATGGATGCGACATCCATATTGCACCTGATCCAAATCGCAAGCCTGCGACAACGTGCTTATTGCTAAAATAGAATAATAGTATTTCCATACATACAGCGATACGATACAATTAGAATGTAATCAATAATCTAAGCCCGGAAATGTTAAAAAAATCAGTTATATGTTAAACTCTATTTTTACTTTATATTTTAAGGGTAATTTATAAAAAAAAAAGTATGTATTTTATTCGGTGAGGTTTCTTTTTCCTCGTAAGTTTGGACAAGTTAAAATTAACGCGTATCGCGGACGAAATATGTTTGAACGATGAATTACGATCACAGATTTTCTGCGACGTCTGCAAGCGAACGTTCCATGTGTAGTGAACGTATCTACAGTTTATTTACCCTGAAGAGATAATGTTACGAAGCAACACGCTGCCGGAGGCAACTATTTGTACCGGATGTGTCCATTGCACATCCCACTTGTCTAAATTGATAAATGTTTAACGAGATAAAGTATGCCTGCGTTGGTTAATTGATTTTTTAATGTGAAATGTTTATTACCGACATCAATAGTAATTTCCAAACGCGCTGCTATTTAAACATCTTTATCCGTTCCCTTTATACCAACAATATGCAACGACCATTAATTACAAATGATATTTAACAAAGTAGAATCAGTAAGAAATGGAACGGGCATTGTCATACACTTCATTAAAATGTACATTCATCGAAAGTGCACTTCATTATCGTAGCACTTTATCTCACTACTCGGTGAATGAACCGATACGGCTTCTTCCGAGGGAACGCCTAACATTTATTATATGCTAAACAACGTAACGGAAATTATCTATTGCTTAACGAGCAAAGAATAATAAAATCTACGATACCGTTAAAAATATTATCTGTTCAAATTTTGCCAACGTGAGTTCACGTACTAATTAAATGTTTATATTTTTAGGTGATTCACGCCGTGGTGCAAACTGCAAGAAAACGTAAGCAACGAAGAGTACGAGGAAATAATCTTTCACAGAACGCGATGCAGAGGGGAAATCTCTTGTGATATTGTTAAAACAAAAAAACGAAGAATTTAAAGAATGATCGAGGAAATCGATATTTCGGCATATGAAACGCAAGAAACGTGTTCATACCTATAATTACAAGTAGCAGAATTATTGGTAATACCAATCTCGGTAGCATGGTGGGCCTAAAGAAACTTTACACGAATTCCGAGCAAGAAGTCCCGATAACGATAATCCAGCTAATCGCAGCGGAGTTCGAAGAATACCGTCGACCAGCGCACCTACGGATAGGCTTTTGCTTGCACTCGATGGGGTCAAAGGTTGATCGTTGAAAGGGGGTTCGTCTCACACGTCTGCACTATCGCGAGGATAAAATTTCGTGCTCCTCTCCTGTCGACGAGCAACGATACTCGCTGAAAGCGCTGACCGAACTGAATAACTCTGGACAGTCTGGACAACTGGCGGCGATTGCCAATTGCCCCTCGACTCTGTTAAACGAAATACAGCCTAACGCGCTTAGCTAAGATGGTAACAGACCAAGAAACTATGCGTGGGGTGTTGATCAGCCATCGACTACGTAACGCTAATGTTTTTAACACCATTTGTAGAATCGTAGCTTTATTCTATCCATGCCCATAATGGATCACCAACGAAAATTATTATTATTAAAATTATATTTGTGGCAACAACAGGTTTATAGTTGTAAATAACGCATGTAAACAAATATTCTTTGTGCGTGTGTGTTCCAATAGTACATGAACGTATACATTAATTTTGTTGCTGATATTAGAGAAATAGCTTAATTAAATAGCCTATTATCTTCAGTAACGATTAACGTATATGTATACTATTGTTGGTGAGCAAGATATGTCGTACATATTGATATCTTTAAATTTTTACCCTACTTAAAACTTCTTGTGCTTGTTCGTAAAGCTTTTTTTATCATTTTATTTTGATTAATTACATATTTTAGTAATATTTTTTAAAATATTTCAATATGGCAGTAAATTTTACTTGAATAGAAACATCGAACGATTAAGAACGCATATCATGTTTTATAGTTCAATAAGATTTGGTATTGCATAGTACGGAAGTAGATATAGCGGAGATCGCGAAACGCGTATAATTAGTTTGAACAATTTCCTTATCAAAATGTTTGTTTGTAAAATAACGGCAATCAGTTTCAAGTATGTAATATTAATCGTTGAATTGTAAGTGTAAATTGAGATTATCGTGTTGCGATAGAATTAAAAATTGGGTCAAGGCAGTTTATTACTTAGAATAATAATTTATTGAAGGAAACATAATCTTTAGATTTTTGGACGGATTATGAAAAATTTTAAAAGCACTTTGTTTACATTATATAACTAGATTCAAGTATTAATGTCGTGAATATTTAACAAATACTTTACAAACTTAACTTGAAGTTTGAATATAGGTACTCCTTCATTCGGTTTCGGAATGCACGTATATTTGATATTTTACATAAAAATCCATTATGTATGTCTTCAATCGCAAATCCACTTTACGATCACCGATTAATTTATTTATATTCTATAAAGTAATATTCATTAAAAATATAATCACGTATAAAATATAAAGATACTGATATAATTATTGCTAGTACCTTACATGAATGTTTGATCATGTTCATGGATCATTGTTGCTCTCCGAGACTGGACCATACCACTTTGCCTATTGTATAATTCTCGTACCAAGTTATCCTTTTCTTGTTCAAGTATTGCTATACGTTGGCTTTTTTTACTAACTTCCTGTTTTATAATTGTTATGAATAAATTTACTGTATTTTCCATATATATATGTACATATGTATGTTGCTTTGCTGTGTTATCTTACTTCTGTTAATCTATGATTTTGTTGTTTAAGCCTAGAAAGCATATCCTGTTGAAGCTGCGTCGATGTTGGAGTACTAAGAAAGGCAAGATTCATATGAAGAGGAAGCCCGCCGCGTTCCCAGCTGCATATTAATGCTGCCAAATGTCTATTGACTTCTAGCACTCGGGCACGTTGCAATTCTAAACGTTCTTGTTGTGCTTCTGTCCATTGTTCCTGAAGAAAACAACCAAAACAATTAGTGAAACATGTCTAACATAACATTATAACTGGACGAATAAAAAAGATAGACGAAAATCACCACATGAGATCCCATACGTCCAAGATGTTTAATTTTTTCTTGAGTAGCAGAGATTTGTTTCAAATACCATTCCCTAGCTTTATCAACCGCAGTTAGGCCTTGAAGCAATACATCTTTCTCTTGTTCAATTTGTTTCATTCTCTTCATCTAAAAATGAAAACAATATTAAATAGCTTCTTTTACCAAAGACCGAAACACAGGCTTCCCAACTATGCAATCTGTAAGAATGCTATACAGAATTTTGTTGTATTACAAGTTAAATATGTTCAATATAAATTGTATAATTATCTACTATGTTAATAGTCACTAAATATCATGCATACCCACAACCAATCACCAATCATTAGTTGGGAATCCTAGAGGAGAACATCTTTACCATATTGTAATCAATACCATTCTGCAACGTATGACGTCTGGGTTCTCTACGTCGATTTAATGTTTTTTTAGGTTGAAGGCCGACTTGATTATTTTGCAAATCGACTGCTTTACCATCCCCCAATACGCGAGTTGGTCTCAACAATGTTCTGGTATCTGATCTATAGTTTACTGCTGGTAACTGTCGTTTTTCTATAGTTTTATCGTCGTTCATTAACAAACCCATCTGCCAATTTTGTAATACAGTTCTAATTTCAGATTTATCAAAATTTCTGTCTGAATTAATGTTCCTCGCTTCCAATGCAGCACCAGTTCTCGGAGGTTTAGGAGGTCCATACGCTTTATTCAATTTTGATTCAGCACCAGTTTTACCATCCATCAACTCTAATTGCGTATTACCATCTTTACGACCTGCTATTAACTGTGGCATACTTAAGGTACGTTGTTGCGATATAGCATTATTTGGTCTTATAGTCGCTGTATTCGGAGATGTCCATGTTGTCTTACTTTGACTGTCTGGAATGAGAATCGGCGCAGACGGTGGCCTGTTCGGTTGGCCATTGTGTTTCTTGGTGTCGGAGTCTGCTTGAATTTGCAATAAACAAATTTTCAGTCCTGTGCAGAACCTTTCGAAAGATAGTAAACCATTTGACGGCGTAACTTTCTTAAGACTGTCTAAAACACCTTTTGGAAGACCTTGTGTCCCATCGTCTTGCCATCTACCCTCAATGTCCGAAAATTTGACAAAGCCTGTATTTTGATCGTCCATAATATCAAACAGTGTACGCATGGCGGCAACAAAATGTTTTGGCAGTCCATCAGCACCCGACGATTGTATTTGCGCCATGTTACGCGTGTTTAAAGTATGGTTATTGAGGTAACATATATTCGTCTATATATTCTAGATTCATGCATTATCGTTCATTGTTTTTTTTCACGACACCGTTCGTTGAATCAGTCATTGTTTTATTTACCTAACAGGTATTACTTTTATTACACATTTATGAACATGTATTGCAAAATTCCCAACAAAATAATATTTGTCAGTTTCGACTACGTCGTAATGTTGTTTGAATACATTTTCCGTTTTGTTTCTTGCTACACAAAGCTTCTCTTTTAAATAACCTCTTTAAACCATTGATTACATATAACCAAACAATACGAGCACATTAGATGGGACAGGTGTGTCAAACAGGTATGAAGATACCTAGAAAGTACTATAGTTATTTTGCTCATAGCTCAGGAGCATGGTTCTTAAAGAATTATTTTTCAATGTCAAGTTGCCAGAAGTATAATGTATAAAAATAACTTCTCAAATTACTGTACAAAAGATGAATATAATATTTGTAAAACTAAACAAACCAACCAAAAAAAAAAAAACGTAAAAAGTAGATATAATTACGCGAAATTTGTTCATCGATAATCGATACGTAATCGTAAAAAAATCCTACAAGTCGTAGGAGCACAGATCAGGTATAGATAAAGACTAGGTGCAGAATAGATCTAACACATAGTGCATTTTTGTATTACATACATGGCCGGAGGGGTTTACGTAGCCACTGATGCAAGATTTGAAGAATTCCTAAGTGGAGTGAAGAATATTATATTCCCATAACTCCACTCTATAGAATAATACTCTTTGGTAGCCTCGTATAAACCTAAAAACGTATACCGCAAATGTCTCACGATAATGTTGTGCAATATATTACTCAATACTTTAACTTGTTTATAAAACTTGCTATCAATATATCAAGGCATGTTTTTCATTAACAGAGTTAGAAATTTGCAAAACATTCCTTGTGTGTATATTAATAAAAAATCCAAATCACAGTACCTACATATATCCCATGCCTTTTATTTACATTCTCCTCAACCTTTCCCATTAATTCCTCAATTTTTATAAAATCCAATGTTTTATAACCCTTACAACTGCTCCAAATGTTATTCTAACCCAATTAATATCCAATTAAGTTATTCAACCTGTTCACTATACAGTCTTTCATGTAATTAATAAGTAATAAATGATTACTGGAAGCGATTCTTACTTGAATATTGCGCTAAAAAGTGACAAAGTATAGTGTCGCCATCTAATATCAGGGATTCGAACTCAAAAAATCGTCCCAGGATCACAGAATGTTAGTGGAGGTATCCGGAGTACAGCTACCCCCACTCCTCCTACACCTGATACGCACTACCTTGATTATTCGCTAATTACACCTTTCCTGGGATTAAAGTATGAACTTTTAGAATTGCAGAATGTAGTATAGACCCTTGGCTAGATTCAAGGATAGTTTTTAGAACCATTCCGCTAGTAATTAAGACGTTATTAACGAATATCGGAAGTCGGGACATTTACGGCTGTATCACCGTCTGCTTTAATCGATAAATTATCAACTTTTCAACAATAACACATATATTTTGGCTATTAGAGAACGAAGTAGACATCTCTGGCAACATTCAAGGACCGCTATTGCAACGCTCCACGCTTTAATTAATTAGTTATTAGCGATAGATCCCTAAGGTGTTGCGTCAAGAGGTTAGAAACAGTGTGCCGACTTCCGTTGTCGGTTAATAACTATTTAATAACGCATAGCATGATTGCACCAGGTATCCTTGAATCTTGCCAGGGGTCTATACTATATTCTTAAACTCTAAAAGTTCATAATTTGTTCCCAGGAAAGGCGTAATTAGTAAATTATCGAGCAGTGATTCATTAAAAGTTGGGATTTCTATTGTGGCGACATCTAGTGGCGAAAACAGCAACTATGCGTTTCTCGGCTTGTAATTAATTATTGCGCCTTAATTTACTAATTACGCCTTTTCTGGTATGAAATTATGAACTTTTAGAGTTTAAGAATATAGTATGGACCTTTGGGAAGATTCAAGGATACCTGTTGCAAGCATGCTACGCGTTATTAAATAGTTATTAACGAATATCGGAAGTCGGCCCACTGTTTCTAACCTCTTGACGCGACACTTTAGGGATCAATCGGTAATAACTAATTAATTAGAGCGTGGAGCGTTGCAAAAGCGGTCCTTGAACGTTGTCAGGGATGTCTACTTCGTTCTCTAATAGCCAAAATACGTGTGTTATTGTTGAAAAGTTGATAATTTATCGATTAAAGCAGACGGTGATACAGCCGTAAATGTCCCGACTTCCGATATTCGTTAATAACGTCTTAATTACTAGCGGAATGGTTCTAAAAACTATCCTTGAATCTAGCCAAGGGTCTATACTACATTCTGCAATTCTAAAAGTTCATACTTTAATCCCAGGAAAGGTGTAATTAGCGAATAATCAAGGTAGTGCGTATCAGATGTAGGAGGAGTGGGGGTAGCTGTACTCCGGATACCTCCACTAACATTCTGTGATCCTGGGACGATTTTTTGAGTTCGAATCCCTGATATTAGATGGCGACACTATACTTTGTCACTTTTTAGCGCAATATTCAAGTAACAGGAGTGGGGGGAAGCTGTACTCCGGATACCTCCACTAACATTCTGTGATCCTGGCACGATTTTTTGAGTTCGAATTCCTGATATTAGATGGCGATACTATACTTTTGCACTTTTTTGCGCAATATTCAAGTAAGAATCGCTTCCACTGTTTATTTATAACTTATTAATTACACGAAAGAATGTATAGATTCGAATAATATTTAGAGTAGTTTTAAGGGATCATAAAACTTTAGAATTGTAAAAATGAAGGGATTAATGGTGAAAGTAGGCGAGAATGTATAATTTTCAACCATATATGTGTTTTCACTTTTTTTATTAAAAATACATATGCTCGTTACGAATACAAATTACATTCTACGTTTTTTAAAATAAAAATTAATAAGTTTATTGTCGAGTTTGTTATAAAAATATGTTTGCAATTTAAAGAAGTTCTGCCATTATTACATTCCGACGGACTGCATTGCTGAATCCTTCTTTATATTTATACCACACGCAATGTTTTTTTAACGAATTACGTGGATTATTGGTTTGATTATCCAACGTGTTTTGTTTATCTTGATTTACTGTAATCACTCTTCCAAAGAAATCCTTATACGTCTGTAATTTTTATTACGTTTATTATCATGCTCTTCATAGTAGAATAAAATAAGTATCGTACTTACAATTTCTTTTATTTCCGATTTTCTTTGTTTAGAATTTTCATTAGAATTTTCGTTACTTTTCTTTGTATCAATTTTCATATTTTTTTTCGCGGTACTATTATCCTTCTTTTGGGTAGAATTTGTTATGTTTCTCATTACATTCGCAGCGCGCCGTAAGCGTTCAGCTTCTAATTCTTGAATAATTATTTGTTTCACCGCGTACGCGAGCGTCCGGTGATGATTACAGTCAGGAAAAATACCAACTTCGAATATGTTACTGAAAGAAATAATGTTAAAATATGATTTTACCTAATTTTATGTTCTTCGACTCACGGATCTAGTTTGTATTCATAGTTCCCGTCGAGGTTTCTTTCTTGGATGAACGTGAGACCATATTCGATCAGAACATTCACTAATCGAACGATATCGTTTCTTTCACTAGCAGAATGCAAGTGTCCAGAAACTGTTCGCAGCCGCGGGGACAGTAAATCTGGTAAAAAAGGAGCAATATCGACAGCCAATATTGTACTGTCGCGACCGCTACTTCGATGAATAGTTGTTAAAATTCCCCTGCTCCTTTCTTGTTTCTGCCTCATCTATAAAATACACGTTTTCGAATGAAATTTATAAATCATAATTGCATCTATCTTTTTCTCTTAATAGATATCAGTTACGTATCAATTGTAATTTTTACTTCGTATGGAACAGTGGGATAAGATAATTTAACGTGTCTTGCTTTGGCGAAATATAAGTGCCACGTGATAAATGCATAATTTGTGTAAGGCATGACGGACCAAGTTTGAAACTTAGCGATAAACGATACGATCTCATCAAAAAATTGAAACCACTGTAAGCACATGACTATGTAATTCAATTTCTCGTTACAAATTTCTGGATAATTATGGAATATCCCTTGTGCTAATTTTTCCGATTCCCCTGGAATGAAAGATAAATTTTTCTTGACAATTCCACGCATATTAATAAAATTTTTTATTATTACCGAAATTATTCAAAACGTTTTACCATTTTGTACAGCTTTCAGTACAATACGAACTCTTTCAGAAATAGGAAGTATTCCATGTATGTTCATAGGTACTGTCAATATTACTTTCCACGTATCAAATAATCCTTTACGGGTGTCTTTTAACGCAAACAATAAACTATCCCCTAATTTCGCACTACCCATATATTGCAACGCTCCCAAACATGATCTAATGTCGCAACCGGATATTTCAGCTAATTTCAAAAGAGCGTCAAAATTTGCTTCAATATCTTCCTTTCGCGATATTTCCATTAATCTGTCAGCTAACGTTGCAGGATTTATTTCTGGTACTTGTAAAATAAGAGCAGCTTGTCTAAGAGATCTATGGCGTATAATTATTGGCAAAAATGTAATATATATATACTTATGAATACATTGAAGCTTATATGTTTAATCGAATGGTAAATTTACCTTAGCGATGGAGTATATGGCTCGTTGCAAATGCATATTACAGGGCGGTGACAAATATTTGATTGTTTATTGGCCTTTGCTTTTTTACCTTTAGCAATTAGTTTGCCCTGTACAAATTTGAGCAAGAGCTCGATCGATGCTACTGGCGCTCCATCAATTTCATCTAATACCAAACAATTCGGTCGCGGGTCATTTCCCATTACAGCTTTCATTTGCGTTGACGCAAGAAGTATTTGTCTACAATCAACAACACGCATTATTTACATTGCTTGCATATTAATATTTTTTACAAGATATTTTATCACCTGAAAGCGTCCGGGCTCCTTTCGTCGCTCGCATTAATTTCAACAACATTATAACCAGCATGCTTCGCCGCTATATGAGCTAACGTAGTTTTCCCTAATCCAGGCGGTCCGCTAAGCAGCGCTATTCTCTGTATTGGGAAACCTTGTTGGTCGACTTCTTCGACATGTTGTTCGTCCGTAAATTTTTTATTCCTAAACGTTGAGAAAATTCTTTTCTTTCTGTTTCGAACATAATCCCGATTGAACACCACTTTATCCCAAAGTTTTATCCAATGTAATAAATTCCTGTTAACGCTTTCGTCGGAAAGCAATTCCAGGTACGATCTAGGTCTATACTTGTCGACCCACAACTCATCTTTATCGTTCAGAGAGAGTTCCGTGACAGAGGAGTCGGAATTTTCAAAACTGGCACGTTTAGCATTCTGCACCATCTACAAAAATAGACTTGAAATCTTAGAAAGTTACAACCAATGTGGCCGTATCGATTACAAGAACTAACAAACATATTTAATTCGCTTACAATTTCTTCAGCCTCAGCCTTCAGTTGACTATAAGATACAGACAGTAGATTAGAAACTGAATGTGTATTTATTTTCTGATTGTACTCCCGGTTACTTTTCACTCTGATATATATACGCTGTGCATCGTGCGGTCTGGTTACGGCTACAAAATTCCAATGTGGAACCCGTAAGGATATGGAGTCTCTCTTTCTGAATAAAATTACTATCTCATATTTAAAGATATTTAACTTTTTCAAACGAAATATTTTAAATATTTTACATACTCTTCTATATGTTTAGTCTTTACAGGAACTCCTTTATTCTGTTCGCGTAATCTTTTTCTGGCGTCTAATATCACTTTAATAATAAGTTCAGGTTGATCCCATCTTGGTCTCTTTTCGCTTGGCTCCTGACCATCGACTATAAATCAAAATTACTTGTAAAGCAGAACTTGCAAAGTATGAAAAGTGATATAAACCACATACCAAAATCATTTGTATCTAGTATATCTGAAATGTCACCAAATAGCTCATTGAAACTCCGTTTCTTTGTATTATCTGCTTCAAAATTGTCACTATTTTTAATTTCATTACTTGTGCTGGGAATACTTAATTCATTGCATTTATTAGATGTAGAAGTATTTAATTCTGTACGCATAACAGGTGTAGGATTATTTAATTCTTTATATACATTAGGAACAGGAGTATTTAATTCCTTGTATACGCTAGGTTTTGAGGTATTCGATTCATTATTTTGCTTAGTCTTTTCATGTACGGTCCCAGTTTCTTGAGATTGAGCTGCTCTTTTCCTTTCAAGTTCTAAAATATATTATTTTATTTATATTATTCCAAAATTTCTATCGTTGGTAAAACAAAGCTATTTACTTTAAAATAAATCTATTTATCTTTGGATCTTAATACAGAAAATTCGGTTTTTAATTTAAAATATAGTCTCAATAATGAGGTTATAATCGGCTACCTTCTATTTCTCTCAAAACTTCATATTCGTCTTCGTGAATTAAATCAAATTCTTCATCCGGATCAGGAAACTCCGAATCCATACTTAAAACTGCTTCGAACAATTTCTAATTACAACTGCTTGAACAATTATAAACTGTTATTCTTTAAACTTAATCTCCGTTGATTTCTGTCTACATTTCGTCCCGTTTGTTATACTTTCCCGCGTATCTCTGGCAGTAATCTTGAATCGCAGTACACATATGCATATCGGCAGGCATTGTATTTTTAAACTTTAGATATTTGCGTGGGGTGATTTTTAAAAAACTGTCGATATTGAGTATCTCATAAAAATGATCGATAGTTCAAGGCTATTTAAATTAGTAGAAAATAAGCCCACTTGCATCTCATTAAAATTTACATCAGAAAGCTTGGATAGAAAATCAATATAAAGTACAAAGTAATTTCGTAAATGTCCCTAATGTTTCTTAAAAGTGTATAATTGTAATTGTTACTTCATAAGAGTGTATATTACTTTAAATCTTGTAACAAAGAAACGATCAAAATAGGTCTTACAGTATTCCGTGACTTCTTACATCAACGTTCTATTATGCGTTGTCTTTTCGTGCGAAGTATGCGTTTCGCATTCAGGATAACGTGCAGTTATTTCGCAGACGGCGTTCCGAATAACAAAGACCATTTTAAGTATGCGGTACGAACTTGACCGTAACATTTTTATTCTGCAAATTGTAAAAAGTTGTTAATTATTTATAATCATTGGCCTCTTAACAAATAATTACAAAGTAAATATCTTTGTAAACAATTAGCATTGACGAAAAAGCCTGGACACGTATCTGGTTATTTGTGCTCTGGAATTATCAACAAAATTTGAATAAAGTCGGTGACCCAACAGGTATGTACGGACTTTCCTTGTGAGTCCATAGTCGACGACGTTGAATATATTTTCGGCGCACGGGCCGATCGCGTCAGTCGAGGCGTAGCGCTGCACGGGTAACGACGTAGGGTGGGTCCTCTGTTCCACTTAAAAATAACATCTACGTTCGGTAAACACATCCACTGTCTCGAACGTGTGCGACATCTTAATTCTCCAAGGAATTGTTAGAATCGAAACTATGAAATTAGGTAACGTTCTTTCGTAAATTATTACTTTATGATTGTTATTCAAGGGTGAGCTGTCGGATGCAGTTGTTGGTTCCAAGTGAACGAGCATCTAAAACGGTAGTGAATCGAAAATTGTGATCCGCGAGAGCACAAGAACGTCGAGTGAACTGTTTATTTGGTGAATGTTAACATTGTTCGTTCGAGATGAGCAGCCCTGCCCGATTAAGATAGTCAGCCACTGTGAATCCGGTCTCGCAAATGTTGCGATCAATAACTCTCTGTTTATGCTTCCTGAGCGATACTGTTTCTTCGTTAGTCTTCGTTAGATAAGTGTAAATTGGACCGATAACCAAATTCACAGCACTATTTTCGTGCGTTCTTTAAAGACCAATAACAGAATGTACGCAATCGCAGACATTTTGATTTGTAAACTTATTTGTGAATCACACGCCCGTCACGTGTTTATTTTCGTTCGAAAGTATATTTAGTAATTTTAAATTCTATTTATTGGGTTAATTTCCTCGAGGAATCTGGGAATATTTAAAATACAGTTGGTATTCAGTCTATTGTTTACCGTTTCCTTTTTGCGTTCGTGGGAACTTCTTATCAAGGTGGAGGAAACCATGTGACCGTTGTTGTAGACAAGGGCTCATTTAAGATTGGACATTTGGTGACGTGATCAATTATTTTGTTAGCTGAAGCTGGTCAGAGCGCAATATTAATTCGAAACAACGTGAACGTAAGTTTTGAAAAATTACACGATAATTTCAGCCGATCGAGACTCTCGAGGCTGTTCGTGCTGCAACGACAGGTGCACTGAACGTGTAAATTCGATGCATCTGGTCTCATCGTTCGATCGTTAAGTTAATTTTTACAAAAGGAGTCGTTCCGTTCTGTTTACAGGTGGAATGAAACATGAAGACTTCCGCATCGAAACGGACGATCGGCTGCATCGGAAAGTGCACTTCCGGTCTGAGCCGCGAGGAATTAGACCAAATCACGGATAATATAAACAAAACCCTGACACACCCGGAGGGTAAGAAGATTTTCAAAAAGTACTTGCAGGCACGCGACCTTAGGGACAATCTGGAATGCCTGGAGCTGTACGAAACCTGCTGCAATTATATTTTCGAGGGAAGTCGTTTGTAAGTACGAACGTATGTGGGTTCTTGAAAGTTAGCGATATCTATCAGAAAAATCTCTTTTTATTAAAAAATTAAATTAAAAAATTTCAAATCATTTTGGAAAAAATTATTTCCGGTTGCGGGGTTCAATTACAATCATTTTTGGTGAATACACGTACTCTCGAAATCCTACGTGCTTGCGAGAAAAAAATTCTTTATCGAAAATATATCGTGTGGCCGGAAATGTTTCTATAACTTTTTAACGAAGCCTCGATCAACAAATTGGTATTCTTGATTTTCGTCTTATTTTGGCCTCTAGAATCTTCCATTAAAATTTTTTTTTTATTAAACAGCGATTAGATTTTACTGTACTTATAGAGGATATTTCGGCAAGATACAAACGAACTATTTATTTTTAGGCAATCGAACAACGGCCCACATTTGGAGCAATTGATCAGGAATGCGACGACGGTTATGGAAATGGCCGAAGATTTGGACGGCGTATCTCGGATAGACAAGGCGTTTCTGCAAGGCTTTGACGCGGCTTTAAATAGTAACTCGAGGACCGAGTTGCTCGGCGCTTTAGTGGACACCAGGGATATATGTTGCGATCATTTGAAAAGTGTTCACGATAGTTTTAAAGAATACGTATCGGAACCGTGCCCGTTGTCCAAATAAACAAAAAACGAAAACTTGTTTTTACATTTCCAATGTGCCTTTAGGCGTTGATCGTCGCAACTATCTTATCAAAATACTATCTTATCTTACACTATATGTATAATTTAATAAAAAGAACGACGGACGTTGGCGTTCAAATGTTTCTTGCCCGTGTTAGACTTCAGATCGTGTCGTTTGGTCGTTGAATAGACGCGTGAAATAAATTATGGACGATGCTCGCGTACGGAAAATTTTCATTTCGGTAGAGGAATATGCCGCGAAGGTAGGAAATATTCGCGAGACCGTGTGCTCGTTGGAGAAGAGCTTAATGATTTCGCGGAGTTTGGAGGTTGAACGATGGCTGAGATACTCGATCTTGAAAACAAAGAACAGAACAGCGATAGACGATCTCAAGAAAGCGAATAAACGCAATAAAAGCATGCTGAGTACGTAAAAAACTTTGTTCACAAGCCTCTGTTCGTCTGGTTAGCGGGAACGTTGGTTGTTATAAATATTTTATAGATTTATTCCGGCAGTGCGTCACTGACAATCGTTTCGGTAATGAAATTGCGTTGCCAGAGTCTTTGAAGAGGGAAGTGCAGAGAACCTGGCACCAGAAGTATAGATATTTATATAAACGAATAAACCATCGACAAAAGTGAAAGAAATTCTAATTCAAACGATTCGTCAGATACGATGCTTTGCTGGTGCAAAACGAGCAGTTAAAGAAAGATGTTACAAACGCGAATTTTCTTCTCAAGGAGAAACGGAACGAAGTACGTTTATACACTTCTATTGAGTTTAACACTAAATCTACCGCGACCGGTCAAATGGCCGTTTTTAAAATATCTTGTCGAAAGAATCAGTATTTCATTATCATTTTTCGAGAGTTAATGGCGCGTAATTTCATTGCGTTCGCGACTGCAATTGTTTTCTAAATTTTGATCGTGAGACTTGGGGACAATCCAGGCAACAATCTCAAACTATTTCGAAAGGTTAACTACGTCGTACGAGCTAATACGTTCCAAATTGATTCAATAGACTCTTGATGTTTCTGTATCGTTCACGCTCGCTGAGGAACGTTGAAAAGATCTTCGTACTAACAAAAATGTCGATAAACAATGTTGGAAGACAGACCTCGTGTTAGATCGATGAAACGTTATCTAATTGGAGCAGCAGAATCGGGTCAACGAAGGATATAGTTGTTGATCGGGGCAACGCAGGACGTACGTATCCTTGGGCAAAGAAATCAACGTTTCGCGAATCTGGATCGCTTTCGAAAAGTTTCGAGATATTATAAATCAATTTTGAGACCGTTGAAGGGCCAAGAAACGATTCTGGATTTTTCATAACAATTTCCCCGAAAAATTTGTTTTCAAGGGCGTTTTATCTTTTATCAGATTTTATCCGATTCTTTTAACATAGAAGAGAAGAATATCTTACGAATAAACATCAAAACACAATTTTCTATACATATAATGCAGAAATTAGAAGTACGTTGACTCGTAAAAGAGAAAAAGAATGACTGGTCATTTGACCGGTCATGGTAGGAATGGGTATACACGAAGTGCCGGTAGGTTTAGTGTTAAATCATCGATCGGGAACGATACAACGTCGAGCGACCGAATTCTAGATTCAAGATCTCCAACAAAAATTATTAACTCTCGGCGACAAGCTAATCGAACGCAACGAAGCGATGGAAAACGTCTGCGAAATGTATTTGAGGCTGAAAAAGAGGAAAGACGAACAGGAAACGTTGCTACGGGGTTCCATCGAAACGCTGCGGGTCGAAGCAACTAGGAAACGTTAATTGGTCGTCCAAGATTTAGAAAAAATTATTTTCATGAATATATTACAGTAGAACCTATGTATCTGCGGTTTGTCACGGTAAAAAAGAAGAAGAATTCGTAAATGAGTGTAACAGGGGTTACAAGATAACGCGTTAATTAATAAATAATAAAAAGAATCGCCATAATTTAAAGATGACGCTTTGCAGAGAGGGTTTCCTTCGTTACTCTTGATTTTCGTTTGAATTATCTATTAAAACAAAGAAAGGAACGATATTTTAAATTTCCTGACTAGATAGCATTAAGAAGACCAAGCATGTCGCGTTCTTACCGCGGGGTCAACGTTTAAAGACACCGTCTAATTAACTAAAGGTAATAACCGGATAAAAGAGTCACGTCAAATCGGATTAGGGCCGATCGATGTATAGTGCTTCGCTATAAAAGTAGCAACCGTGCTGGAAGTCGTCTTATTTGGTGCTGAACAGCATCGAAACTGCTCCGGAGTTCGGGTGCTCTGGGACCATCATGTAAGTCGAGTATTCCAAAACGTTCGTAACAGTATCCAGCTGACTATAACTCTACCCGCAGGTGCCATCACTTTACACGATCGAAGACTTGACGATTCAACAAGGTTAACATCAAACCGAAACAATTATGTCAAAGATCTATCAAGCGTTATTCACGATCTTTACCTTCGTCCTCGCTCCATCCATCGGTCTGGTGCTGCTATGCTCGTACCTCTATCGTCGCATCGTAGACGTTCTATTGTGGATACAGCTGAGGGACAAGTACGTCGGTCTGCTCGACGGAATGGACCGCGTCTGGGCAGTGGAGGAGTCCACCGCCCTTTCCGTGAACAACATCTTGTTGATTCTGGAAAAGGATGCCCGCCATTCGAACGTCAACTTCCTGGAAAGTTTTCGTCGCCTGGCGAGGAACCGGATACTCGGATCATCTTACGAGAAGCTGCTGTACAAGAGGAGGAGCAAGTTCGGCTACCACTTTTGGGAGAGAACCGACCAGATCGATCTATCGGAACGAGTCAGGTGGCTGGAGTACGAGCGCACCAGCTGCAATGGCTCCTGCGACAACATTTACAACGGTCACCTGAAGAGGATACTGTGGAACGTTTGCAATCAGCCCCTGCCGGAGGATCACACCGCGTCCTGGGAGATTTTGATCGGGAAATGTTGCCCCAGGTCGAGCCACCACTACCTTCGACGGCTGGAGGAACATTTGACCTGCAAGATCCGGATCCCCGTGTTGATTCGCGTCCACCATTCCCTGGGCGACGGTATGGCTCTACTGAGATTCTTCCGGGAGGTGGTCGTCGACGGGGAACAGGTCCAAGAGACGTGTCTTCAGCTAGAGTACACGAACGTCAGGACGAGCAACGAGGTCGCGAAAAAGATCGATATAACGGTGCCCCAGATCGGTCAGTTGAAATCGTACGCGACCGGGGAGAGAAGTTTGGCGTGTTACTTTCAGAAGGACGCTATGTCGGCTTCCATGCCGTTCGTCCATTTGATGGTGTTCTTCGAGGTCGTTAAATTTCTGCGGGGACAGTTCAGGAACGGGCTCAAGTACCTTCAGAACGTCACCGCGGAGGATCTGAGGCAAGAGGCGTGGGCGTTCGCGAAGAAAGAGGGGGACAGATTGAAAGATTTCATAGTGAACGATGTTTGGAAAACGTGGAAGAAATGTCTGAGGGCGACGAAAATTGTCGTCGGTGTTCCCGCGTGTTTGGTTCAACAGGCTTTTCGTAGCATGGACAAAAGGTTCCTTTCGAGCTTTTTAAATGTCTTATTCGTTTAAACAGACCTCCTCGATGACCATTTTCTATGTTACGGTTCCAGTGCACTCCATGGAGCAGAACTATCGGGGGAGAAGTTGGTTACCTACTGGCTGGAGGACGATTTCAAGAACGCTGGCGACCAGAAGCTCTTCACGAAGATTCAAAACATAAGGAGCATCACCGGTGCAAAATTTGGGGACGTGATACTGGCTGCTCTGTCCGTCAGCCTGCATAAATACTTTCTTCGCGTGCGTGATCATCATTTTTCTTGTTTCGTATTTCGCTTTCGTCCTGTTTCATTAAATAACTTTGTATCGTGCAGGTGAACGAGCCCACGCCGAATAAGTTGAGCGTGGTTTTGCCAACGAAAATAGAGGAATTGTGTGAAAATCTGCCCCTGCAGAATAATTTCTCGGTGGGCATATTGCCCCTTTGCATTTCCCAGATAAACGGCAAAGCGTCCATAGATCCACGGGAGAATTCTCAGATCTTGGAACGTCTGGAGGGCGTTAAAACGGCGAACGACGCGTTGAGAACAAGTCCAGATTACACGGTTAATTTTTTGGTAATGAAGTACCTGTCGGCTGTGCTTCCGGAGAAACTTTTACGGCCGATCCTTCAAAGTCACAGCACCATGGTGTTTAGTAATTTGGTCGGGCCCCAGGAAGTCAAGATTTTAGGACATTTGTTAAAGAACTTGGTTTTCTGGATACCAAACAGGTAAAAAAATTCCACGTCACCGAATCGATAATTACTGGTTCTCGTTGCTGGTTGTATTTCCGTTCTCATTTTGTTATATAATTATTTTTAGAAGTTACACGGGAATCGGTTGTTCGTTATTAACTTATCGAGGCTACCTGCACCTGTCTCTGGTTGCTGACAAGGCGTTGGTGCAGAACGAGAAGGCTCTTTCCGAAATATTAGAAAACACAGTGAGCGAAATCGATAGTCTTTACGACAGGCTAACATTGTCAATTTTCTCGAAGAAGCTCCGCAGGAGTATATCAACACCCATGAAAAAAGGTAATCGTTAAATTATTTTGCTTTTCGTTAACGTTTAACAAGCTATTTTGATCGTAGTACTAAACATTAAAAGAAGCTGTTTAAGTTCGAACTTGTAATTAAATAACGGTTGTCTATGGTTTCAGCAATCGGTGTGTTGTAAAATTGTGGAGAAGGGAATCAATTTCGAATATTTTTTATCGTAAGGAATTTTGTAATTAAAAATGTTGATACTTGTTATAAAAAAAAACAACTACATCGCCATCGTTTTGTAAATAATTGTTTATAATCGTTTCTTTGTAACTACTTCATGTTCACCCCGACGACACCACACACCTGCGTTGAATTTGTAACTAAACAAACATTTTCACGAACGTGTACCTACATTTTCTGAAATATTTCGCTAGTAGTGCAGGAAGAACCAAGTTCACAATCGATTGTAAAGAGTATAATTCTCGGTAAATAAAAGAATACTTTGCCCGCATACAATTTCAAAGAAACTTTGAAATCGTTTTAAAAAAATCGTTAAATAAATCTAAAGACATTACTTTTGGATCTTTTCATTACCAACGAACATCTAATCAGCGATTCGTCTTCAGGAACAAGTAAGGCCAAAAGACAATGTCGAAGAGCGTGTTGAAGAACGAGAAGTTCGATCGTTGACGACTCGAAGCTTTCGGGGACGCGTTCACCAACGAGCTCGTCTTGGAGCACAGAGTCACAGGACTTTTCGTTTTCATTCGATTTTTATTCTTGCGGCATTTCGCGTTGTTTCTATCGAACGAAGTGTCCAGGTGTTCCAGACTCGCGTAGACGTACTTCCGGCGCTTTAACGGCCTAGCAAATTAAACAATAAAGGCAATAGTGTCTATCGGGTTCCTTATATCATTAGAAAGGTTTAAAACTCTTGCAAGTAGATTATCAAAGTCTTTATAGCGACCCTATGCGCCAACCATTTCTTTTTTCTGCATTCCTCCGGAGACGAGCTCTTCAAATCGCTGTCGTCGTCCCGTCGATTGCTGGAAGGAGACTCGTGATCGACACAGTATTGACGAGAATTTAATTTCAGATTCAATTTCAGAATCTTCGATTCACGCTGGTCGTCGATAATGGCTGAAGGTTCGTCGCTCGTCGTGAAATCCAGATCGCCTTCAGTCTTAATGTCCGTCTCCGTCTCCGACTCCGAAGTCTTCTCTTCGTCCCAGGCTGTCCTGCGTAAATCGTGAAATTTCCAACTAAATTAACTTCTCTTTCGATCTTCGTCAGCGTCGTTACAACGATGCTGCAACTAACTTTGCGTTCTTCTGAAACTGTGTAAGACGGACCGCTTCCTGTTTGCAGGCGACTCGTTCTTCAGCTTTATCGCATATTTTCGGCTCTTCGACGCTTAAAATTGGGTGAAATATATTTTAACATAGCGAGAAAAATACATTTCTTTACTATCCTCGTAGTCCTCTTCGGCTTATAAAAACTGTAATCGTTGTTATAATTTTTCTAAATCGAGGAGGACTGCGGAGACAGCAGAAAATGGTTTTTGTTTACTGACGCCATATTAACGCGTTATTTAAACTTCCAGAATGCGGAGATTGGTAACACGAGCAAGTGCAGCATATTTGGAGCACCAGTTTAAGGTAAAGTGTGCGCTGGTAAAATCGTCTCTAATTCAAATAAATGATCTTAACTAACTTGTCGGCGACGCAAGTCGTCGTGGAACGCTTCGAACACGCGGAGTCCTCTGTTTTGTCGCTTATGGTCACCTTCTTATCCTGTTAGTCAGAATTTGAACTCTAAGGTCTTTCTTATAGTTTCTATAAGAAGTTAGCTACCGGGTGAACCTCGTGGATCGTATTGACCGGCATTTTCGCTGTCGGTATTCCGCTGCCCTTGACTCGGAGAACCGGCGACTTTGCAGCGACATTTTCGCAGTCCGATCTCTCGTTTTTCGCTTTTTTCTCCGTGGTTCGACGCTCGTCATTGTTCTCGATCGCTTTTGCCATCGCGTCGACATTTCCGTCATCAGTTGGCGCGTTTTTCTACGTATAATAAACGTTATATTACACCTCACCGATGGTGCATCGAGATCGGTAGCGACAACGTATTACTTAAGTCAGGATATTTGTTTCCGACTCTGACAAACCTTCAACAAATTCGATAATTTGTCGTCGACGACTGTACCGTTCTCTTTTTCACCTACGTTCTTCCTTTCGTTCGACGCCGTCGCGTTTTTAGCGGGATTCGAGTTCTTGCTGTCCGGAGATTGCTGTTTCCCTTTTCTTTGGGCGCACGTCTTCGTTCCGGGTGCCCGTGATCTTGTCTGAAAATTCTGCCTTGTGATAATTCGGCTTTTTGACGCTCTCTTTCTAAGCAACTAACCGTCGTGTTGCGACCATTTCTCGTACGATCGAAGACACTCGACACGTCCGGTTTACTGATGGCAGTGAAATAGTCGAAAACCGGGGGCGGCTGTGGTACGCGATTTTTCCCGCCAAGGCGAGGCGTAAAGAATTTTTTGGTCGGCGACGTTTCGTGGATCCCCCGCTGGAATCTCGCGCTCATCGTTTTCTCGGCATGACTGGAGTTCCGTCTGAGAATATTACGATTGTTCGATCGCTGGTAAACTTATTAATTTCACATTTTACCGAGGCTGCGTAACGGTTTGAATCCGGCGATAGAGCTGCTATGGCGGCATTAAAATCACCAGCGATAGTCTACGCGTCGTTCGTACTTCAAACGTTTCGATTGTGCAAGAATTACCTGCTTTACTCGTTAGAAACTCGACGCAGAGTCGGTCTCAATCGCCAAGTATCGTCGGAAACGTAGGATTCGCGATACAGCGAACAATTTGACATTTGTGAAATTGAATTTATTTTAATACCATATCGAAACTTACACGGAAACCACCGTCTGGCGTTTATCGGGTTCTAACCGCTTCCTTGAGCCTTTGCTTGGCTTCAGTTTGTTCCAGAGCTTTAGAAACGCCTTCGAGGTTTTGTGCTCGATCTTTTTTAACGTCAAGCTCTGCTGGTCGACGGAGGTTACGCGTCCAACAGGCTTATCGTTCCATTTTGTGGTCGTGTTTCGCGTCTGCGATGTCGTTCGATTGGATTTGGTACGGAAATTCGAGTGAAATCGGAAACGCGTTTTCTTGAGATTCGCCAGTATTCCCGATGGTTTGCCTCACATTTTCCGCGGGTACACAAAAACGCGATTTATAATATTGCGTCATAGAGCGTCGACTCTTTTGGTTAAACAAAAGATATCAACGCCGTCTCGATTAATGATTACTAAAGGATTTCTATAGACTCGTACAATAACAAAGAGACTGGATCAGTATTTAATGCATTTTATTCAAAAATTTTTAATGGCGATATAGTATTCTCTTTGTATTACATTAGGTAAAAACTCTGTTTCACTTGTTGGGGCGTAAATCGTACATTTTTATAATATCATACATCTCGTGATCCTATCGCAATAAACGGAACATCGTACGAGGATCTAATTAACGGGTAATACTGTTGAAAGGGTAAACAAATCATTATCTCAAGACGGGTCTGTGCAAGAGTATGCGGAAAACGAATCTCGAAATCTTTTCGTAAGCTAGGAACATGAGCGCCGCTGCCAAGACAGTTTGTAGCAACTTGGCCTCCATACCCTTGTATAATCCCGCTATTCCTTGTTTTCTATAAACAAGAGCAATTATTAGCTCGATTAAAACATTTTACCGAAACAGTATACTTACTTCAACATGTACATGAGAATTTGCAATGTGCCAGGGTTTGCTGGAAGGGTCGGATACTTGTGGCCATGCTGAAGATGACAAAGATACACGGTTAGACAATTTTTACGAAGCGTCGGAAGAATAAGATCACCGTTAAGTTTCCTAGAATGCTCACTCTGAGTTTGGTCTGAACCAATTGCAACGGATAAGTCAGTGCAGTGGCGATCGCCCTTGCCATAGCACCGATAGCAAAGAATACCCAGGCAGGGGGCGGTGAACCATTCAACGACGCGGTAATGTGCCTTTTTAGGCTTTCGTAAGTCATAAACTGAATGGCTGGGTTTATAACGAGCATCAAGCTTGGTAAGGTCCCGGACCAAAGTTTTCCCAGACCTTCGTATTTCCATATGTGAATGAGGCCGTCTGTGAAAGAACATAGGCCTCTCGTGATGGCGTGTGATTTTAAAAGGTGGATGCTGTGTACTTAACGCCGTCGATCTTAATTAAAATGAGAAAAGGTGCTCGGTTCCGCGAAGAGCAGAGTAATTATTTACATACGTCTCCGAGGTGTAATACAAAATGACAATTCCCTTAACACTAAGTAAACAGCGTTGTAGCAAAACTTCTTTGCAATCTCAAATAAGATGTTGATTTATTCGTTCTTGCGATATTATGGAAGATGATTATTGAATATGGAAAACGTACCGTACAAAGTATTATATTCGTTGTTGTTTCTCTCCGGTGCTTGACCAATGCCTTTCATCTTCAGTCTTGAATTCACAACCCACAACGGCGTTGTCGTGAGAACGTTAATAACACCTTGAGAACAGAAAATTTGACCAGTCCGTTCCGATAAGCATTGTAGAGTGTCGGTAAAATACCTGCGATCGATGCAACCAGCAAATCGTTCCCGGCCGTCTGATTTCTCCTAGTTCTGAGCATTTTCAAGCCATGGAATGTGTAAAAGTAAACGAAATTGCTGGCGCATAGACTTTGCAGAACGGGTACCATCCCCCTGTACAAGGTATACCTTGAACAAACATATTCAACGAATGAAATCATATGATAATAATTAGTAAATAAAGCGTTTGCTCGGAAAAAAAATAGTTAGCAATTTCGGTAACGCAAACATTTGTTCACGGTCGCTCGTGTAAACAGTAGATTCAAGAGCAATGCAATTATTGTTTCAATGATAAGTGCTCCGTAGTGTGTTTGATTTGCGCGTATTACGAAATGCAACTTACGGTCCTTCCTTCGCGGCGAGCTCGCGAATAGTCGCGAGAGTATTTTTCGAATCCCGTCCATCTTCCACTAAAAAATACAACGAATTCATTGCACGTTATTTCAAATACAATTTACAGTTCTTAAAAAGTACGCTTCCAGCGGTATTTTAGTTTTCCGGAAGTTACGAAGAATTTTTTATTACTATTTAATAAATAGTATCGAACAGTTTAAAGCAGGAACGAGAAAGTACGCTAGAAAATGTTCTCCATCGACGGAGTTCGCACGAAGGCGAAGATTGCGAATCACTGATGTGCCCTAGTGCTATTCATAGTAGAGGGGTGGATCCCCTTGAGCGACTCTACTCCCTTTTGTGCGTTCTATTGTGTTCGATTAAAGGTGTACGCACGGTACGTTTATTGATAAAGAATTACATTGATTTTCATGCAGTGTGAAACGTTTCTTTCACGCCATTTATCTACTAGAAAAACGTTAATAACAACGCGTACACTTCTTGTAAGATGTGTGAAGCTATTAGCATTTACGCTAATATTAATATAATTTTTTGTTTGAACGTACTCGTCGCGGTTCAAGATACGATTTCAAATGTTATAAGTTTAAGATTTTGCATATATTTCTTGTTCAATAATTATTAACGGCGCAATTGGTAAATGTAATTTAAATGCACTCACGTTGCAGTCGGCTTCGCACGGTATCCAGCGGGAAGAACGTTGCCATAGCAACGACGCTGCCCTATAAAACGGTACGCAGCATTGAGTCGCGTGGTATTCGCAATTGCGAACTCGACGTGTGACGAAGGTTATTCTCTATCGTATGTACTTACTGCAGCCCCGGATATCGCGTGCACCAACGTGTCGTACGAGAAAATGCTTCTGTTGTAATTACCGCTGCCCATTTTGTCTTAAATAGTTCGGAACACAGAGTCGGGAAATATTTAAGAGCGCGACTTACGAAAGTCGAGTCAGTACGCAATCTCGTTTGGTCTCATAACGGCGGAAGACCGGCAAGTGCATTTGTACCTGGGACCTTTGGTCACGGAATAATGCATATTAATTAGAAAATCATAATCATTGCGTCACGTTGAGACGTTAATAAAGTCACTATACATAGATCATCTAACTGTAATGACACGCACGCTGTCAATAAAAATAAATGTACCGCGAACTGTAATCCAATTACCACCGTCGATAAACGTAACGCACGCTATGAACTAACCACGAAAACAATTCTTATTAGTAGCTATTATTTCCAGGTAATCACACGAGAATCACACGTTATTACACAGTTTAATGACTCACGATTACGATTACACGATAATCACAATACAATATTACGAGAATCGAATACCCCTGAATTACCGCGCGATTGCTTTGAAACCATAATAACAAATAAGCAAACACGTTGTGTTTAGCCCCAATTATGCTTGTAGATACGTATATAGAAGAGGTGGGCAAAATTCTCATTCAGATAAAATGTTTTAACAAATGAAATGCGATCAACCGTTTGTCCGTTGCTCGTAAAACGCGAACGAAAATTTCGATCGGAGACTGAAATAGTCGCAACGAACGGTTACAAATGTCACCGTTCGTTCGTACGAACGTGACGAATATTCTATACGTGGGTTTTATCGGTTGTCAAATGAAATTTTGTTCGTTTCTGGTGTATACCTCGTCCAGCACTGTTTATGGTCGTAGAACCGCGCGATGTCCAAGAGTGGCACTACGAGCGATTACGTCCTACTTCGACGAATGGCACGCTGACACTGACGAGGATAAATTCTGTAACTCCGTCGCTAAGTCGTCGAAAAGAGAAATCCACACGTGCTGTCTCGCGTTTAACGTCGTTACGTGAGGACGACCTTCGTCTATACACGCGGCTGGCTCGTTTTGTTTGTTCTTTTTACCGCGGCACAGCTGAACATTCCGAACGCGGAGCTCGGCGGACGACGCGACACGATTCGACTCCGTGGCTCGGTAGCCAACTTCCACGCGAAAGTATTGGTCGATTTATCGTACTTCTAGGCGCGCCCGATAAGATTACATCAGCCATGGAGGTTTGCACCGTGGATAATACGCTTGCGCGTCCTATTGCGCTTGCGGTTAGAACGATAGCTCGAGAGGTCGATGGTGTAGCACTCGTAGACCGTTCACGAGCATGCGCATCTATTTCAGTTTCATACCTGACCGCTTATTAATCGCAATTAACGGCTCGGAAGCGCGGGAAAGTTTAAAATTGCGTGTCGCTGAATTACTTGGATATTTCGATTCTGACAATCTACCAAACAGATCCAACGATTCTGACAATCTTTTCCAAATGGTTAAACTTTGTATCAAACGTAATAGACGATCTCACGTTTCTAAATATTTACCGCTATATTAAAATTAAGCAGTAAGAAATGTGAAGAGAGTTTATCTAATCTGGCTTACGATAGAGGTGGAACGGCACGTTCAAGCCACATCGAACGATTCCGGTTGTTTTGCTTGCTCATCGAGTTTGCAAATTACACGATAAAAGCGATAAGAATATTAATCAGTATATTTTGTCGTTTGATAATATTGTGCGTACCGGTGCTAAATGTTTAACAACCTCGGATGGACATGAAATATTCATTCGCACCGTTGAAAAAACGTTAATGCAATCGAACAAGAGAATTCAAATAAGTTAAACATCCCGACAGAGTTATTTGTCCCTTTTTTCGTGTCTGTAGTAACTTGTTTTTCATTTGGTTCGATTAAAATGTTGATGGTAAGTAGAATCCGAAGCTGTTACCGTTAGATAGAAATTACCATCGTGAAATCCACACCCTTGGAGTAACGATAATTCACAGGATTCTCTGATGCATCGCTATCGTGTAGAAGCTGAGAATTTCCAGACGGCGAGGAAAATTTTACAGCTCGTTCGCGGTTATCGTTCGCGCGTTTCAAGGTATCCTTTATTTATTTCCCCGCTGGGATTTTACGTGCCAGGGGTTCGTTAGAGGGGCAGACCCGTTCTCGAATTTCTCCCCCCCCCCCTCCACCCCGTTAAAATGAAATCCACCCTTTCCGTTTCACGACCGTCCATGGTTCCCACGAGCGTTCGCCTCGCGATAGCACGAAACGTGATTCATGCTTCCCTCCAATTTTCCTTGCGTTTTCCACCGGTCAGCGAGGATATCTTACCGACAGGTGCACGTCCCCCAAACTCCTGCAATCCCTCGACAACTTTCGGACTACACTTTGACTTTCAATATCGCAAACAGCAATAGCGGCGCGTTTAATCTCCGATCGGTCACTTGGATTTATCAGCAAGTCTTATGTAACAAATCTCTCCGTACACGTGACGCTATCAACCGTTCGAATGATCTATCAAATTAATTATATACTAATAAACTACCGAGTAATTGGAGGCTGTTTGACAAATAATTAACAGCGTCGCGTTCAAGAAACTGCTGGATAAGCATGACTGATGGGGGGGCAGATCCGGGAAGAAACGCTACAATGCAGGAGCGTGACTAGAATATTTGTTATTTGGCGGGGAGGGGGCATATCAATTTTGTCAACTCACTAGAACGTAAAGATGCAAAGAAAAAGTGGAGGTACGCTAAATACCACACGACGATTCGTTTATAGTAAATGTATTACTGCAAATTGGGCTTTTGTTACTACGATGATACACACGAGCCTTAAGTGGATGAATCGTTGGAACGAAACGTAAAAAAGTGTTTCCGGTTAGTAGTGGGTCCCGTGCGCGGGAAAAAGAGTGTCGTAACGTCGATATTACGACCGAACGATAAAGGAGACACTCGCTTGATGTTCGAGCTTTGTGGCGCCTCGTCCGAAATTCCCCGGGTTCTTGACGGAGTTTAATTAAACATTCCGCGCGTCTGGAATTCCGTGGTCACCTCGTCCTCGCCGTACTGAAACTCCTAATGAGTTCTGGGCCTCGATACTTGAGCCGACGACGCCGCAAAGTCGACGTCGGCCACCCCGGGACGCCTTTTTGTCAGCTTTCCTTTTGTCCAACGGAGATTGGAATTTCTTATGTACTTCGGCCGCTGCTCCCTACCGAAACTTCCCTGATATCGGACCCGGGTCGCGAAATCACGACAGATGCTGCAAATGGTCTCGTTTGCGGACGCGGGTACGTCCCTCCGGACCCCCTTCGGATTATTAATCCAACGGCCACTCGCTCCTTATAAACCAAGAACTGCCACGCGCTAATGAATACGTTATGGATAAGAGGCTGCGATTTTAAGTATCGACAAGATCGTCCTCCCCGTTAGAAAACCGTACGTTTTACATTATTTGCGTCTTGGTCAATGCAATACAATATAAACCGCCCAAAGTAAAAATAGGTAAGCTTCTCGTTGATCGCTTTAAATTTTGAAGAATATCCACTCGGTAAATAATTGGAGTATCCGTTACGAAGAGTCTTACTTCGAAATGGAATTGCCCCTGCCGAAAATCGAAGGCGTTAGTATCTTCCACTTACTGACGAACTCCAGCGAATCTGTAATGAAAGAAAGGTCAATTAGCGTGCATTACTTTGAATGCATTAAACCGTAACAAGAAAGGTCTCGATTCCGTGGAAAGGGTGTCCCCCTCCGGCACCGATCAAATCTGTTAAAACCCCGAGGTCGTTAAAATTAATTAAGATATACCGATAGTAGTGTAACGTATTAAAATAAAAGAGTAAATCTCTTGTCTTCGTACTCGATCGAAAGGATATGAGGCTAGAAAAGAAACCCTATAACAGAAATTGTGCTATATTCAGCGTATAACTAATACAATAACGACTAGAGACTAAAATAAAATTTTCTTTCACCCCTCCTGGGGGTTGACACGCGCCCTTAAAATATTATCGTCGGTAACATTCTCTTGCGTTCGACGCCGCGTTTTAACGACTGGGCGGTTCTAGTTTCGAAATAAAATCGTATTACGCGATACGCCGGACCAGTTTGCCCGCGCAATCGAAGGTACGAGTGGCTGTAGAACTCGATTTAAATAAATTTCAATCGTAGCTTCCGCGGCTGATTTCCTATCGGCTGGATCGAATCAGCGGTAAAAGCTGCCCAGAGAAGAAATATCGCGAGGGAAACGACGACTGAATGGGGCGTCGGGGGTTGTACAAGACATCGATGAAATTCGATTAGCCATCGATTGACCCTAGAAAGCGCGGCATGAATATTCCAGCTGGTAAACAAAAATTAACATGAAATTCACGACGATAATAATTATTCCGATGAGAAAGAAATTCCAGTGGCGTGGATTCGGTTGTCCACCATCTTTGTTCCGTAAAAGTATCGCGGCGCGGTTTTCAAACGAATAAAAATGATCGAATAGCGTGACTGATTCCGGAGCGAGACAGTGGCGGTCGGACAAGTTAATTAACGCATTAACCGAGTAATTCGCCTCGCCCTAGGAAAACCTGCGTGGAATAGGTTAATTAATCTGCAGGGAGTTCCGCGAAAATGTCTTTTCATTATGCTGGCCAGGGGCGTTGCTCTGAAAATGATACGCCACGCGATCGCATAAATAAAACGCGACGATACAAATTTTACCATATTTCGAGTACACGACTAGTTGTTCTCGCAGACTGCGTCTCCGGGGGGGTTAGTAATTGCTTTGCAGTTGATTATTATGTTGAACGTCGACGCGCGAAGAATTCCCGGCGTTCCGTGGAATCTTCGCCGTCCGGATTCCGATTGCAGAATTATTAATTTCGTTTCCGCGACGCGGCGACGGGAATCCCGATAATTTGTTTTTTAATAATGAAATAAGACAGTGATTGATTTTTTTTTTCCCCTAGACATTTTTTGGTGTTTCGCGACACGCTCGATACTTAGCCGAGCCGGCAATAAAAACACGTCGGGATCGTTTACGCATTTATTACAAGAAAACGGAACGTTTTTGGTCCGAAAAATTAGAGGTGAAGACCGCGTCTTTCGTACGTAATCTTTCCATGCGCTTTGATTATTACAATAACGATTATTTAACTTTAAGTAGCACGTATGCAACACTATTCGAAACGCTTCGTGTTCGCCACGGCAGCCTTCGAACGAATCTACTCGGAATATTGGAAGCTTCGGAAGCATATCGGATCTTTAAACGTCAGTAGTTTTTAGAATTCATACTTAAAGTAACAGAACTTGCGCATTATTATTTGTTAAGCTTCCGGGAACTTCCAAATTCAAATGATATTCGACGATGACTCGAAGCTTAGCGATGATCGATGAACGCATCAGGTGCTCGTGCATACACGATCGAAACAATGGCGTACTTTCCCGTTCCATATGAATAAATTAACTATATACACGTATACGGTATTTGGTTCGTATCGGTTGGACACAATCATGCTTAAACAGAGTCGAAGTTCCGCGATCAGTCGACCATTCTAGCAACCATTACAGAATTACATCGACCTGGAAAAATGATTTATTTAATCCCAACAGTAAAAACTTTTAACGAAACGATTCCGTCGACCAAGAATACCTTCTATATCGTTCGCGAGATAAAAATAATTGAGTATTTGTGACCAGGCCAAATTTTCGAACATTCGAACGTCAACCGAACGACTCTTCCATCGGTGAAGATTTAATTTAAAGAATGAGCTCGATCGAAAAGAAACGAATAATGCTACTCCATCTTGAGGAACGGTCGATTGTTCCAACGGCGCTCCAAGAGCTCCAGAAACCATCGCGGAAACGGTGTTTCTCTCGCTTCAGCTAATTACACCGAACTTTTTCCCGTTTTAATCGTCCCCGATTAATTAATCTGACAACTCGATCCTCGATTATATCTTACTTTAGTAGTACACGTTACTTCCGGGACGCTATGCTAGAGCTATTCCTTTAATTAATTAAGGCGAGCAGCGTGGTCGGTTTAAACATTTCCTTTCTTTCGACGATCTTCGCTCGCGACTTCTCGTCCGTATTATTCGTGTTGACCGCGACATTCGGCCAGTATCGTAAAAACAGAATAATTGATTCGCGTTTTCTTGCAGTCCCTTTCAGGGATGATAAATTGGTCGAGTGTACTGGGTGCACTGTGTGTCGCCTGCTTTCGTCAAAACTTTAATCATTTTTTTTTTTAGAGAGTTTATCCTCCTGTCGAGCAAAATACGGGACGATGAGCTCGATCTTGAGATTCAAGATCAGGATGAATTTTGCGGCACGTTTGTTTACCAGATCTCTATCGATAGTTGGGTCGAAGAAGGAATAAACCGAAACGTGGTCTTTGCTTCTACCGTCTCTCGGAATATTGTCCGTACTTCGATCTGATTTCGATATCACAATTTACGGTGTGTTCGTCGCTATAGTCGGGATCGAATAAACTGATCAGTCAAGGTCACTCCACAAGTGCTCGACCACAGACCTAATCGCCTCTCGCTAATATGTCTGTCCAACAAAGGGGCAAACTGCTTGGCGTGAAAGTGGTATCCGACGCAATTAAAAATTCCAGGAGTGGTCTTAAAGCTGGTAATTTATTTTATTCCAACTATAGTAAACAGCCGACAGAGCGTTAGATTCGATTCTCGCTTCGGCCCAACTATAAACGCGTACAGGGTGGAGCATACGAGTCACCCCGGATAACTCGTTCATTTTTAAAGATAGGAAAGAACGCTGGAGGTAGAAGTTACTTAATTTCGTGAGAAATATTCTTCTTGTCTCGTAAAAAGTGCATCAGTTTAAACTTATAAATTCTCGTTAACAAGACGCTCGAGCGTGCTAAGTAAGACCAGTATCTTTTTAAAGAGAGGTCGTGTCGAAGATAAAAAGAATATATTTGCAGAGGTACTAGTTACATTTTACGCTATCTATTAAAAAATTCTTTAAATATTTAACACGTCCTATCGTCCCCGTTCTACGGGACTAAATTCTAAAATTATCCTCGATTCTTGCTTTTTCCATTTTTTTTTAAAAATAACCGAGTTATCATTTCCACGGTCGACATCGTATCAAATACAAACCTTCGTCGATGAATAACCGAGTGAGAAATATTTATTTCCCGTTTAAATCTAATGACTTTTGTGCGCAATAAAAAGTGTCAATTGTCCGTGCGAACGGTTCGATCGCTCGCGAAGATCGTCCACGAACCCAATGTCCGTTTGTCTCGAAATCAGTATCACGGGGGTACTTGGAGAGATATCACTGAATGGAGCACGTCTTTCTGGCTTCGGAGGATCTCAGGGTGATCCTTGATCCTGGCGCGTTGTTCTCGACGCCGGCCGCGAGCGAACACGTTTTCGTCCTCATGATCATCAGGTCCGTTCTTATGCTGGGTCGACGCACGTTGGGCGCCACGACGCCGCAGGCGTCGCTCAGCCGTCGCTTTATGCTCAGAGTGGCTTTGTGCTTCGGCTGGAAACAAATTGTCCCTCTTTGAGATCTTTTTAAAATGTGCCACTCGACACCGACGACGGCGAACCCGGAAATCGCTTTGACGACCCAACGCGGCCGTCAGCGATAATACGAATTGTTCAATTTCACGCGTTTCCGAATTCGAGCCTCGTTCCCGTCCACCCAAGTCTCCGCCCGCTCTACGAACCGAAATTTCGAAAGCGTTTCCTCGATTTTCGAGCTCGCGTCGCGCGAATGAATTCAGTTTAGATCTCAGCTCGCGTCGGTAACAAAATTCAAATTCGCGTCGAAACGGACCCAGGAGTCCAAGGGTTAACGTCTCATTTTTTCATTGTTTCGTTTACCGCGACTTAATGTAATAATACTGCTTACCTGGGAGGGCGGCAACATCGTTGGGGAGCCAAAGGTGAGGGGAACCTTTCTATGATGATTGGGCGCCATTTCCAAGGGTAAGCCTGCTACTACGAAAAGTTGGTAAAAAAGCTCCTCCACGTGAAAGTTCCTTTTCGCAGACGCCTCCACGAAAATGCAACAATCGTCCTGACTATTGCAGTACTCCTCCGCCTCTTCTACCGTAACTGTTCTGTGAAAAGACGCGCGACGTGTTTGTAACTCGATTTGTTCAGTTTATGAAACATTGAGCGGTTTATTAGCGAAATAGCGCGATTAATAAGATTTGTTACAGACATTTGCAGTAAAGTCTGCCGGTGCTTCTATTTAACAACGATGGGAATATCGTGAACTATCGTTACTGGTTGTATTTGCACAGTGCACGTACTTTACATCCTTATCAGATTTATTCCCGACGATGACCATAGGAACCTTCAAATTGATCTTGCTCCTGCTTTTCGTGGCGCTTTGGGTAGCGCTCACTTTAGTTTCCAGGATCGATTCTCGCAACCTGATGGCCTCTTCGAAAGACTCTCGACAGTCCAAACTGAACACCACAACAAAGAGGTCTCCTGCGTTTCAACATCAAAAGAATAAATTTAATAATTTATCATACCAAATATACTCTTCTTTGCCAACTATTTGCGGCACGGTTTAATATCGACGCTAGCTTAACGCTGTTTCTAGTCGCGGTCTCTGTTCTAATATTTAATATTTCAAAGGCGGAACGATCGGTTCTCGAACTTTCATCTATTCCGAGACCTTTCTAAAAGATGGAATGATCAAACGCTTAGGAGCGAAGCTTCCCGAACTTCTCAGTATGTAAAATATTAGAGTACGGTTTAAGAACAGATGCGACTTGGAAAATTTTAGCAAGGCATTACTTTAAAAATACCCTCGGTTCCGCGTACTTTAACGCCATGCTAAAGTATTCCAAGTGCCATTTGCTTTCGCATCGCGGAAATTTTCCAATTCCCATCTATTTCAGCGGGAAACTATGGGAACTATGAAAACTTATCGTCGAGGCACTCCCTGGGCATGGAAATACGCGGTGAAATATTTTTGCGGTAACCGTTTCTTAAAAAAGTTTCCCCGCTAATTTATTCCTCGATGATCGAACAAAATTTGAATCGCTAATTTTGCCCAAACGCGGCCGACTCCGCGCTTTGAAACGTCCCCCCCTCGTTATAATTAAGGTAGCATGAGACGGTAATTATCTCGTTACAGATATTCGAGCCGTTTCATTTGATCGAGTTAAAGTTCGACCGCGAATCTCATTAACCGAACAACGTCGCGAAGCCTCGAATGTCAACAGATTCGAACGAAAGAAACTTACTTTGTTCGAAGGTTCGTTACCATCCTTGATAACTGTATTTGGTGTACCGCATAAAATCGGCGTAACTTCGTTAACAAAATAGCGGGAGGGGCTGAAATATTTGAATTTTAAAGCGTTGTGGTTTCGCGTGAAGAACCGCCGGTGTTAAGTTCAACGTAAGGATCGTTTATCTGTACTTGGTTATCGTTCGTATGCAAATTATTCAGAATCTTGTTAACTCCTAAGGCAAGTAGAGTTTTTACGCGGCGATTCGTTCGCCGGGCTGTTCCGGGCGAAAAAATATTCGATCGTAAATTTAGAAAGCCTTCGAGGAACCGCCTATGTAGGTCGAACGGAGAACTGTCCGTTGAATTTTTTAATCAACGGTTACGCACCTGAAATTTTCGATACGTGGACGAGGCGAGAATAAATATTGTTAAATACACCGAGGACGGTCGAAAATATTCGACAACGCGGAACCGCCGGATAAAAAGGTCGAAGGATCGATTCGTCGTACTCGCGTAGCCTCGTGCAAACGGCCGCGTACATAATTATACGTGGTATAACCGATGATCGTCTGAATAACATACATCGGGCGCGGGTCTTTATGAATATTTATACGAGCGTGCCTATTTTTACCGCGGCTAACGCGATTCATATATTTATACACCTCGCAGTCGCGAGTCTCTCGCCCCGCGATCGACTTTTAACGAGTTTCCCTTCGTGTAGAACTTCTCGCGGAACAAAAGGATCGAGCTTTTTTCTTTTTTTTTATCCGTAGTTTGCCGGACAAAGTCCAACGAAACTTCGCAAAGAGGTCTCGCTGATTGCAGAGCCTCGGCAGCGCTTGTCATTAAAATGACAAAAAACACTTTCCGCGCTCGATCTACTTGTTAAATCACCGTCGATGCTGCAACTTCTTCCGCCACTTTTCTCGAGGCGATCCACCGTGTGCAACGGGGAGACGATCCTTTCGCTAGTTTTCACGCGCCATGACGCTCTTTGTACCGGGAATGGGCGGAATAAAAGATCGACACTTTGTTTGCAATTCGTTGAATTAAAATCGGTATTTGGGCAGTAATTTTTTATCGGAAAGGTGATATTCGATCTATTTATATAGCTAGAGATAAACTGGAGTCCCTCGTAGTTATCAATTGTTGGATGTAGATAAACTGATAGGATTTATTTTATTAATCGAGTGATTAGAACGAAGAGAAAGTAAGAAATTTTAACCATTTGATGGATGAATTTCAACATTTTGTTGGACTGACAAGGGAGGGCTTTGCCTCTAAAGAAGTTCCACGTTGTCTGAAATTCTGTGTTCCGTTTCACGTGGTACATAGGCATCACATATCCACGTTGTTAATGTCAAAGGACCATCACGATTTTGACGTCATTGATATCAAAGGACGTACCACTAACATGTCGACGGTGTCAATCTCAAAGGACGTGCCCTTAGGATGTCGATGGTATTGTTATCAAAAGACACACGACATATCAATGACGTTAATATATCAAAGGACGTGCTCTATTTATTTTCTATCGCGCGTACCTCCATGGATGTTGATGACGTCGATACCAAAAGACGCGACGACAATCTAATTAGCAAACCGGGGGAAGCACCGGAGTTATAAATGCTTCGCGAGACAATAAGAGCCGGACTTTCTCGTCTCCGATTCTAATAAAATAAAACGCGATTTCAACGAAGTGCCGCTCAACAAAATTTCCTTACTGCAAAACGTGTTTTTAAATTTAATTTCCAATTATCTCGCACACGCTTTTCGACAAAATCCAGAGTACGAACTTTTTAAAACGACCAAAGCTTCGTTCGACATTTTTCCCCCGAAATTGGAGCGGTTTAAAAATCGACGACTCCCTGGCCTCAACTTTGACGCATATGTTACCGTAGTATTCGCCTCTGTTTATTTTCCGGTCACTCTCCGGAGTTCGTAAAAACCCGGTGTACCGTTAAAATGGAACACAGAGGAAACTGGGCGAGACGTTGCAGGTGTGAGTCGTCCCGGTGTCTCCCGTTTCGTTCGAAAGTTTCTATTATTCGCGGATAAGCGTTGCCACGGCGCACCGTCGATCACCGGGGAAACAGTGGCACGAACGGGACCGGGGATCGTGTCGGAGCCTTTTATCTTGGTCGAACTTCCGGTGGAACTTGGTCGTGGCGGTCGTGGACGTACAGCGCGAGGCACTCGTGTCGAGGAAATCCTGAAATATCCTTCGGCTTTCGAGCACGGTCTCCCTTTTACATGCTTCGCGAGCAAAGCCTTGTTCTCCAACGTTGCATCGTTTTGTGCGCAACGTTCTCTCTTTTCTGCCCGCGTTCTTTCGCGACGTCGGCCGCCCTGTTTTCCCACGGGAGAAAAATTAACGCAGGCAGATGGATGGATCGTCTTGAACGCAACGCGAATACGTAAAGGGCCGGGATTTCAGCCTAGCGTATCGCTCGCGTTTGGTATTCGAGGAACGTCGTGTCTCCGTTTTCGACGAGGACCGGGACGGGTAAACGCCGCACAAAAGCAAACATTTATGCTTTTCATCGCGAGAGGCAATGGCGAACTTCCTTCTGCGAGCGTCTCGACGGGAAGATCACTGGGAATACGAAAGTAACCGCAACGACGTCGATACTGCGTGGCGACGTTGCTCTAGGAATTCTGTCCGCCATTTTCAACGCTCGGAATTAACAAGCGCAATACTTATCGGTAAGTAAATTCAATTCTCCCTTCGCGAGTTCAACGTTTCGCTCGTTATCCGCCTAACTGCCATTCCAACTTCCCCGTTCGCATAAACGCTTTATTTATGCACCGCGTCTACGCAACGGTATAAACACTCGCTTCCACAAACGCGTGTTCCGCGTTCGAAATACCGCATAATTTGCGATACACTTTGAAAGAGCGCAACAATAATCCGATATGATAGCGTTCAATCAACGTAGCAGATTCGATAACGAATCTCGTTAGGCAATAATAACGTACCATTAACGACGACGAGTAACGAGCGAAATGAACAGACCTGCGTTACATTAAACATTCGTAATATTATTTCTGGTCTTTGGGCAAACATTTCTAATTTCTAATTTCCTTTCGTCGTAATACGATTCCTTTCTTCCAAGTCGAATAAAGATTTATTTGTTGGTATTTACGAGGCGAGGCTGCAACGACAGAGCCGGCCGCAGCACAATATCGCATCTGCGCTTCATTCGCCGTAACCATGTTTCTGAAACCCTTTCGAAATGACGTTATCGACGTTCGCGTCTAGTAATTTCGTCAAACCGGATTTACGAGCAGCGAGCCTGTTTTAACGAATCCTGTTCCGTCGTCGGAGCCTCGTGCAATTTTCTTTTGAAATAATCACGCGAACGCGACAACCGGCCCCCAGGTCGCATTGTTCCTCATCATTGTTCCCGAGCCTCGCGTTGTTCCCTGTTTCAATCTCCATTCCAGATGCGTTCTTCGTCGTTCGCGTAGAAATAGCGAGCTTCCTGTTCGCGTTTTCAATACGTGTTCCCTCGCGGGGCCTTCGGTTTCTCTTCGTTCTTACAAAAAGAAGCGTTTAAATTATCCGCGTCTTCCAATATCCGCCATTTTCTTTCGCGCCCACGCTGGATCGTCGGACGTGTTCCCTCCAGGGGCCGCCATTTTGCAAAACTCTGGTTTAGCTTCAATCTGAAAAGTTTAGACGCTCGGAAAACGTCGTTCGATTTTCAGAGTTCGAAAATTTTGTTTGCAGATGTAAACTTTTATTGGAAGTTAATTTTGGGTGTTTTTATATTACGATACATTCTTTATAATTCTGATTTAATCCATTTTCCACTGTGGAACGAAAAATCAATTCCCAAGTTGAGACGTCGAGCTAAAATCTTTATATTACAAAGTCTGCAAATAATTGGCTGTTGGGGGAAACGAGAAACGCGTTCGACGGAATCAACATTATGTCCCGATCGGTTCGATATCGCGTTTTCGACGTTCCTCGTTGACGAACGCAAACTCTTGAAAGTGATTGCGGCGATATAGAACTCAATGGACCACCGGTTGCGTTCAGGAGGACATTGTTATCGCGCCGGAACGGTCGCGGGAAAGTTAAAGACTCGAACGAAACAACAATGTGGACGAATTATGCTGGAGCGACTCCGAGTTTCGCGATGAGAGCGAGTCTTGTTCTTCCTGTTGGCAAATATTTGCGGCAGCATCGAGTAAAATGGTTCTCGAAATTCTTACTATAATTATTTACGATCGATAAACGATC